ACAAAAACATTGCAAGAATTTTTATGGTTTAGATTTGTCCAAAGGCTCTGTTCATGGGCGTGAGGCATATTGTCAATTGTGAAGTTGGTGCCTAATATCAATTACTTAAATTTGAAGGGTGCAAAATTTAATCGGCATGGGCTTGTCACGTTGCTACGCGAATGCAAAGGTTTGGTGATGTTGGACGTCAGAGATTGTTCTGGTTTCGATGAGAACAACGATTAAATATCAAAGCTTGCGTCTCATATTAGTAAATTTAAGTGCAAAAGGGTTCTAAATTTCTTGAATTTCTTTGTGGTATGGACAATTTTGTTCTTTTTGTTGATGGATACTCATTTCATGTGCATGTGGAGGAGATGTGGGATGAAATGCTCAATGATTTGTGCGGCGCGTTCAATGATTTGGGCGACGAGGAATGAAGAACTATTTGATTGTACTAAGTGATATCTCATCTTTTTTTATATTTACAACATTGAAGAGCAATTATGTGTGTTGAGTGTGGAGTGGTGTGGTGTTCATCTTGTGTTTTTGGACACTGTACTCTAATGAGGGCTTGTTATAAGTTCCTATCTTGATTTCATTATAAAATGTGTGCTTAATTTGGAAAATGGCCATTCTAAATTCCTTCGCTACATTTTGTGTAATATCACATGTGCTCGCGATTGTTCTTCAGCCTTGCCTCTGCCTCTGTTTCTATCTTAACATTCCCTAACCACCAAAGGTTTTCCTAGCTAAATTTCTTTGAGGTTCAAGAAAAGTTTCTTGGTGAAAGAATGTTGGTTGCAGTAGCTTAACAACATGCACAACCAGTAGACAAATGAAGTAATATGTTATATTTAAGAATGAGATACTACTTCTCATCTAACACATGTTGTTTGAATTCTCATTTTGAATAGTTCATATATCAATGTCATATGACCTCTGATACCTTCAATAAATTTCAAAACAGAGCTGCAAACTTCTCTTCGTTGTCTCGTTAGACTGTTTTGTATCCAATTTTTCTTCAAGAAAGTAAATTGCTATACAAGCAATTTTATATTATGAAATTCAACATCCTTTGATCCACAAAATGTTGAGGGATTTTGTTGTTGTTGTTGTATTTATGGGTTTAACCTATATTATTTGTTATAAATAAAATTCATTTTTTATTCTTGCCCAATGGGCTAATAGCTGGAAATCATTAGAATGGGAGGTATTAGAAAGAATTTAAATTCTCATTCCCTAATATCGCATGTATAAATAAAATAATTGAAGAAATAACTCTAGCCCCGCGCGGCTTTACTTTCTAAATACATTTGGATATTTTAAAAGTATAGCCGTTCGGCTATACTCTTTATATATTAATATATTCGAATATTTTAAGGGTATAGCCGATCGGCTATAATCTTTGAATATATTTGAAACAAACACGAAAGCTTGCACTGGCATAGGACGGAGCTTGCAGACGCAGTCAAGTTTCGGCTGCTTCGTCCTCCTTGTTCGGCACCAGAAAATGACCCAACCCACCTAGGAGGCCCGCCCAGCCACCTAGCGCCTGCCTAGCCGCCTAGCGCCCGCCTAGCCGCCTAGCCCCCGCCTAGCCGCCTAGCGCCCGCCTAGCCGCCTAGCCCCCGCCTAGCCGCCTAGCCGTCCGCCTAGCCCCATTTTTTGAACACTGCGATTGACTGAAAGTCTGCAACCCGAAATTGAAAAAGTTTACCTGCAATTTTGAGCTTGAGATTGAGATTTGGAAGCCGAAGCAAGCACAAGTCATGGGAACCCTAAATACAAAATTTGCTGACTTGGTGTCTGTCTTCGGTGGAAGGAAATGATGAAGCTATCCTAACATGGAGTTTCTATGGTCTTGCCAATAACAAGGTTCGGTTTTTAGGCCCCAATCTCAAATTCTGACTATTTATTTCTGGTTTGGTTAAGGAATAGATCGATTGGTTTGGTTCTTCTTGCTTGAAACTTGATAAATCTTTATGCATTCAATATTCATCCATTGATGGTTCTTCTTGGTTGGACTGCTTTTCATTCTTTGGATATTGCATTTCTGTTATAGATTTTGACATTTGATCATGCCCTCTTGTTTGCTGATAGAAGGAAAAAAAGAAAGAAAGATTTGTCTCCTCCTCCTCTTGCATAGGGACACAAAACCAACCCACGAAAGAACAGAAAAAATAAATAAATAAATAAATAAAAATGACACCACCTTAGTCCTGACCCAAATGACATGTGGAAACTGTCAAGCTAACTGTAGGGAAACCCGAGAGGCAACAGCAAACATTTTCTATAGAACTGAACCTACCTATCTTAGAAGATGGAGGCGCAGAAGAGTAGAAAATCAAATAGCTTACCATATATTTGTTGCTGGTTCTTCCTCACATATAATAGCAGGGTTAGGCCCAGGATCAGCAGTCCAGTAGACAACACAGTACTGGTTACTATGATCTTTGTATTGTGTCCTCGATGTAGGACCAGGAATGAAGTATTTGAAAGCAGAAGATTGAGGAGTCAGAAATTCATAAAGAAGACATAAAGAAGAAATCTAGGCCTGGATTTCTTATATTTGTGTAGTTCGAAGAAAATAAATATAAAAAAAGTCTTTGATAGGAGTTCAATGTTCACTCTTCGCATTTTTACAATGGAAGATGTTGGTTTAGTTGAGGCTCATGTAATCTCTCTTAATATCAAAAGCAAAAAAACAAATCCATGTTTTTACACTTGGTCGCTCCTGGCTCTAATTGTTTCCCTCCTTGGCTGATCCCACATGAAAAAAAGGCTACATGATCTCAATCAAAACTAACATTACTATATGGATAGAGTGCACAATATAATTAATTTCTACATACTAGACCCCTGGCATATGCTCACGCATGTGCCAATTCGTTTTCATTTTTATTTTTTCTGTTGTTTATAGAATTAAAAAAGATAATGGGTAGTTGTGTTCCATAAAAATATGATCTATTATCTAATTCTTCTTTTAATTTTAATTTTTTTTAATATGAAAAAGTGTGAATTTACTATATTATCCTCATTTAATTAATAATTTCAAATCTTAATGTTTGCATTAACCAAGGACATTTTCTGGTATTTTGAATGTTTCACCATTCTCTGCCGTTTGCTTTATGTATATAGATTAAGTGTTTTGTGAAATCGTTTGGGGGTATTAATTAAATTTCTCATGTACTATACGCATATTTTTTACAAAATTTCAATCATGCGCGCACAATTCACGTATTATATACATATTCTCACATATTATTGAATTAAAATAATACATATACTTTTAAAGCAGTATAGCCGAACGGCTCTACTTGTTTGACCCGTGGCACACAGCGCTGGGGCCGGGCTATACGCGTTTGACACGTGGGCCTATGCTCTGGGCTGGTCCTTTTTATATTATAAATAGTATAGCCGACCGGCTATACTGTTTATTAAATAAAATTTTTAATTTTTTTTGTTTTAAAAAATTTTCAGCATATAAAATTAGTGTCTTTACTCTTTTTTTTTGCGCCTACTTCTTCAATTTATTATGTGTAATTAAGTAACGTCTTATCCTTTTTGAATTACTTTATTTACTATTTAATACGAAAAAAAAATTAAGGATAGAGTGCACAACATAATTAATTTCTACTTATTAAGTGTTTTGCGAAATCGTTTGGGTGTCTTAATTAAATTTCTCATGAATTATACGCGTATGTTTTACAAAATTTCAATAAGGCACACAAAATTCACGTATTATATACATATTATTGAATTAAAATAAAACATATACTTTTAAAGCAGTATATCCGCACGGCTATACTCAGTTTTTCTTCATTGCTTTTAAAAATATTATAGCCGTCCGGCTCTACTTGTTTGACACGTGGGCCTATGCTCTGGGCTGGTCTTTTTTATATTATAAATAGTATAGCCGAACGGCTATACTGTTTATTAAATAAAATTTTTAAGTTTTTATGTTTTAAAAAATTAGTTTCTTTGTTTATAAACACCTTTTATTTATTTATTAATATAATTATTATTAATGAAAGCCATGCCCGTAGCCCAGGCTATTAGCTAACTCCCCAATGTTAACCACACTTCTTTAACTTTCATAGTGCTTTGTTTATAAACACATTTATAGGAGTGTGTATTTTCGATGTGGGACTTTCACAAAAGGCACTTCAAAAGGTAGGCCTACAGAGAAATCTATATTTTTATTGTTGGTGCAATGTGAAAATATATTTAATGCCCTTCAAGGTTTCCGTGACGCATCTGTAAATGCCCTTCAAGGTCTTGCAGGACTGTCAACTGCATCAAACAAGAACAATGAGGATCATAACTTTCGTAATCTCGTTCAATTGTATGGATATCAAAACCATTAAGGTGAGACTTTTGGGAAGTAATACTAGACAGGAAAAGTACCCTTGCTACAGGCATAAGTGGCGGGTCACCAGCAGCAAGCCAGCAAGCAATACTAATGGAAATAGTTCTCACAGAATTGTGATCTAGTGGACTCGGCGGAGAAGATACGACAGGTAAAAGAGAAGAGAACAAGAAAATCCAGAAAAAAGACCATGACACAAAGCAACTAGCATATGTATGAGCATAACACATAAAAAAACAAAACTAAATACCAACCAGAGGATCAGCAGAGGCTGCATAAGCATATGTTAAAAGTTTTTAAGTAGCAGATTATTCATTTCCATAACAACCAAGACTCAAAAAGTAAGCAACCACAAATGACGAGAGGGGACCATACTTGAATGATTTGACAGACATACTTTCTAGTTTCTAGCAATCTATCTTGGTGAAGAGATGCATCAAATGAAAAACCATGGGTGAAAACCAGTGAAATCACTATAGGACTGTTCCATATTAGAAAGGAAATAGACTCTTGCTTTTTCCATATTAGAGAAGCTAAACTTGAATGATTATCAGCATACTTTAAAGTGCAAAACAAGTAACAAACAAGGTGAAGAGTAGTAAGGAAATCCACAAGGGAAAATATAGTAACAAGCTCTGCGAGTTCATACTTGAACTGCATCAAGTGGTATCAGAGCGTCTTTTCTGCATTTTGCATCCTCCCTGAGTTTAAAGCAAAGAGCTCTCATGGCAGATGCTGCACGTGCCCTGGACAAAGCAAAAATGATGCCGCACGGCTATACTTTCTAATTACACTCGAATATTTTGAAAGTACAGCCAAACGGCTATACTCTTTAAATGTATTCCACCGAACCCGAAGCTTGCACTCGCAGAGGACAGAACTTTCTCTCCCAGTCAGTGCTTCGTCCTTCAAGTTCGGCACCCAAAAAAGACCCAACCCGCCTAGGCGCCCTCCTAGCGACCCCTAGCCGCCTAGCCACCGCCTAGCCGCCTAGAGACCGCCTAGCCGCCTAGGCCAGCCCAGCCACCGCCTAGCCGCCTAGCGCCCGCCTAGCCACCGCCTAGCTCCCGCCTAGCACCGGCCTAGCAGCCTAGCGCCCGCCTAGCCACCGCCTAGGCCGACTTTTCCGTTCTCGCTCTCCAGCATCCAAACGCATTCTCTCTCTCCCCTTGTCGTCAAGGTTTGTTGCCTCTGTTCATTCATTGTAAATTTTAGGGGTTTTAATTTGTTTAAACATGCTATTCACAATTGTCGTAAATCAGTAGAAAATGTGCTCTTGAATTTTGTTAAGATTATATTGAGAGCCTAATGTTGGATTTTGAGATTGTAGTTTAGGAGAGCATTACGTGACTTTTCATGTAGGGAAGGGAAGTAGCATAATGACTTCAGGTTTTCGTGTTATGGCGCAACACCTTTATAAGGTCATACAGAGTCTAGCTAATCTAGTGCAACAGTATTTTAGGCTGGATGGGACACCAGGCAGTTTTTATGAGTACACCAGGCAAGTAAAGGTTTCATCGGAAATACTTCACAAGGGAAGTGTGGGACCACAAGGAATTGAAGTTCATGAAGTTGGTACAGTTGGTATAGAGGAGCTACGAGTGCATTTTACTCCTTACTTGTGGCCTGTGAGCTCTGTATAAAATTTGTGCGGAGTCTAAGATGAAGCATCATTATCAAAGTCTCTACTCTGAAGTTGACTTCTTATTTTGAGTTTGTGGACATAGCACAGATAATAGAAATGCACTGACAGTCATAGTATTTGTGAACAGAAAATAGCGATCTAAATTCCAACTACCAAGTGAGAAGAAAATCTTGGAACTTAAGAGGTGAAGACCAAGAGTGATTGACAGTGGATCATTATCTAGAGATCTATTTGATTTTGCCTACATTGCAGGCAGAAAATAAAAAAGGCCAATCGTATTGGGAGAACCATGCATGCCTCAAGCCTGGCCAGGTGTCTCACATAATGAGTGATTGTCCTTTCCTTCGGGATGTTGATAGCTAAGCCTCATCATCGTACATGCCCTTATTTATCTTTAACTAGTCTTCCTTCGGTTATAGGTACATTTGGTGGTCTATATTGTACATGTTCCTGTCACATTAACTTATGTTAACTTATCACTAACAGGGTTCACTCCCAGTGTTTTTCTATACTGTATTGATTTTTAATTGTCCTTTTGAAGTCACTCCTACCATCCATATTAATATTTTCATTCCCGCTACATGGTTGTGTTGCTCTTATGCGTGTCTAACACTTTGCCCCATAAAACTAGCTACTAAAAGAATTGAGAATTTATGAGAGTCAGAAAGATTATAGTCTCTCCAAATCAGTTTTAACAGATGCCCTCCTTACCAGCTCTAAAACTGCATGAGTTCTCACAAATGACATTAAGCACCTCAATGGTAGTTAAGATTGTATATATGATTTATTTGTGTTTATTACTAATATATTTGTATTAATTAAGGTGCATATCTACTATATGTAATTGGGAAATTATAATTTGTGGACCTCAGACATGCATGAATATTTTGCTGGTCAAGTTACGTCATATGGTATTGTTATAAGGACTTTTTTTTGCCCCTATCTAAACCCTTTGTGTGAAGGAAAAAAAAAAAAAGAAAAAAAAGGGACATTTCCTCTCTTCTTTTTATTTTATTTTGTTTTATTTTATTTTATAAAGCAGACATTTAAAAATAAAATAAAAAATTGACATTAAAAAAAAATTAATACGATTGTAAGAAAGTTGTGAAATTTTTTGGATAAATTGAATACATTTAATAAGGGTAAACTTGGAAAGCAAAAGTTAGCTTGTATAATATATTAATGACATTGTTTTAAGTGTAAGAAAAATGACACATGTCAACCTAGAAAGGGAGAATGTCCAAAGGAGAAGGTTAGAGAGAAGGTTGCTAGCATTCCCCGATATAAATTATAAACGTACAGCCGCACGGCTATACTTTCTAATGGTATTCGAATATTTTAAAATTACAGCCGAGCGGCTATACTCTTTAAATATATCCAAACGAACACGAAGCTTGCACTCGCAGAGGACGGAACTCTCTCTCGCGGTCACTGCTTCATCCTCCGGGTTCGGCACCAAAATACCCAACCCGCCTAGGAGCCCGCCTAGCTACTACCTAGCCGCCTAGCCACCGCCTAGCCACCGCCTAGCCGCCTAGCGCCCGCCTAGCCTCCGCCTAGCCGCCTAGCGCCCGCCTAGCAGCCTAGCGCCAGCCTGCTGCGTTAATTAGGCTTTTTGTGGAGGCACTAGGAGGTAACATAACTGGTTCAGATAGGAGGATCCTGTTTCGCTGTGGGGTAAGTTTTATTTTCCTTCGTAGTGCAATGAGAAATATGAAATTGTGATGCCGATCAATATTGAGTATATATAGTATCGAGATTTGCCCTTTTACAGATACTTCTGAAAGATAGTGAAAATAACCTGAATAGGCTTTACCAGATTTGCCACAATTCTGGTGTGATAAGGTTCCATCATTCATTCCTATGTGTTTTTTTAATGTTTTGGTGGTATGATTCATTCCTATGTGTTTTTTTAATGTTTTGGGGCCGTTGCCCATTGGAATACTTGTTTGTCAGGTCATTTGTGTGAGTTGTGAACTTGTGAAAGTAAATCCAAACCCGCGTACTGGTCATTTTTTCAAGTTGTTTGAATTATGGATTCTAAAGATGATACATAGACTTCTTTACTTTAATTTTCCGGAAAGTTGACTACTGAAGAATTTCAATTGCCCCCTTCCCCCAAAACTGAATACCTCCAATACCCAAGCCAATTAGGTTTCCAAATTCGAAATGCTACTACTGCCCTAGACCCATAAATTAGTTGCTGTCAGATTTCATAAGAACCTATTTTCTTGAAACCAGTTGTTTGTTTTCCCTTTAAAACCAAATCCTCTGAAGCATACCTAAATTTCTCTACCTCCAGTGCCAAAAGTTATACAACTTGACAAACCTTAAAGCCCACCAAATTCAAAATATTATTTTACTTATCAATATCAATAGTGATAAGATGGTCCTTAAATCAAGTTTGGCTACGCGTTATAATTCACTGTAAATCTGGTAAACCCCTTGACAAGAACGTTAAAGCCGCATGTTGTTTGTTTATGAACTAATTGTTATCTACGTATTATTCTAGTCAATGATCAAAATTTTATATTTCTCACAGTTACCAAGCATCAGTGACTTTCTCTTCCTCAACTCCCGTACAACTTCATGGAAGATTATGAGGTAATTGTGCCTTTTCAGTCTCTTCAAGCTCTAGGATGCCATGTTGATGCAGTTTGCCCCAAGAAGAAAGCTGGTGAAATCTGTGCAACTGCTGTCCATTATTTTGAAGGTGACCAAACATACAGTGAGAAGCCGGGCCATAATTTCACTTTAACAGCTGACTTTGAAGCTCTATATGTCTCAAGTTATGACGCTCTTGTAATCCCTGGAGGTCGAGCCCCAGAATATTTGGCATTGGATGAGAAAGTTATTGCATTAGTGAAGCAAATTGTGGAAGCCAGGAAACCAATTGCATCCATCTGCCACGGGCAGCAGATTTTAGCTGCTGCTGGTGTTCTACAGGTAAGTTTACTCTCTTTAAGCCAGGCTACGCCTTTGTTTCCAGAAATTTTATTCATATTCTATAGCCGAGCGGCTATACCTTTAACATATTATATTTATACAGTATAGCCGCGCGGCTATACTCTTTAATAATTCTATTTATGCCTCACGGTTCAAAACAAGTCTATTTTTAAAATAGAAAAATTTAAAACACTGAGTATATATATATACATAGTGGGATCCTTTTTTTCTTTAAATTTTTTCTCCAATTTTCATTTATCCATAAGAGTAGTTTATAACATTATCCATTACTATCTGGCTTGGATAAGAACCGATCTAGGTAGTTAATGGCAAGGTATGGTTTGAAAGGGTCAAGGTTGCAGACCAATATGCAAGAAGAGAGAAATTAATTGAAGAAACAGAGCTCACAAGTATTCTTCTTTCTATTTCATTTTTTTACCTGTAAAACAAGACAAATGGCTTATGTGGCAAAGAGATTTCGAGCAACTTAAGGAATTTTGTGAGGGCATGTTGTCAGATTCTAAGGCAAAGAGATTTAGAAGACCAAACTCATCCATTCTCTGCTTGGTATTGTGTTTCAAGTGAATTTGTTTATGAAGTCTGTGTACAAATAGAGGAGGTCAAGGAGAGGACATTGGAGATGTACGTCTTCACCTTCACTCCCCTCAGTAGTAGATAAAAAGAATATTTCTTTAAAAGATATTCCTAGTTGAAACCATCTATTTTCTACTTTTATATGTATAATCTCGTACCGCATGAGAAAAAAATGAATAGGACTTTCTGTTTACCGATCTAATAAGAAATTCTATCGTTATGTGACCATTTCCAAATATTGCAAAGGATTCCAAAATTATAAAACACTGCTCAAATGCCCAAGAATCATATCCATACTAAATTTGGTTTTATCTTGGCAGCAAGGTGAAGATCATACATGAAATGAAACAAAACATGAAATATCACCACATAAGGTCCAAATATCACCACATGAAACTAACAAGAACAGCAGAACCATTCTCAATACATTGTTAACTGCCTATTTAACTAAGGACGTTAATTTTTATTTTTATTTTTAAAGGACTAATGATATTCCTTTGCACTGTTAAGGGCCAGCTTTTCAATTTCTCTTTCAGGTTGCCTTTTTGATCCAAAGATGAAGTCTTTCACACAACCTTCAGAAGACTCTGTCGCCCTCTTAATCTGCCATCACAACTTTGTGCCATTAGCCTTTGAAACACTTAACGTACACCAAGTACAGAAACTATTCAACAAAACCGATATCTATCAAAAGAACATATGACAATCCCCAATTACCAATGAAGAAATTGAAAGTTTTCTAAGACAGAGGAAAAAGGAACATGAACACACAGAATAATCTTAGCTCACCTAAAGGCATCCTGCGTTATGATATAGATGGAGAGACAAAACATGCTTCACGTTAAACAATCTAGTCTTTAACTACCTAATAATACCTCAGCAATAATCTTAGCCATAATCTGCTTCAAAGGCCAAGATGTTATCCTCACAGACAGAAACAACAAATTTTTAAAAAAGACAATCAACAGAACCTCTAGCAGGCAAGGTACTTTGCAATAACGAATTCCTTTCATGTCTGCACCTATTTCTAAATTCTATGGAAAATTTGTCACTATTCCATTGAGCATCATATGGTTCTAGTTTCATGAACACTCCTACAAGCAGTCCACTACACAAACTGGTTCACATTATCATTTTGATAATGAGATATGGCAACAGGAGAGACGTCGTATAACAAAATCAGTTCAAATCACATAACCCAAATTTGGTCCCCAACTAGCAACTCAAGTTCAAGCCCAAAATCTAAAGACCCCAAAATTTTGAACTAAAAGCGCAAACAAGAAGAGAAAATTGTAACCCCAAGACTAATTTTCATTTTCTCCCAACCATTTCTTAACAAGATCCAGTAGTAATTTTACAGAAAGAAATCACCTGAATAACAAAGAACATACAGGGTCCAGAGCGTTGGGCTCAAAGCCATAATCAGCAGCCAAAGAGTATAAACACTTATTCAAATCTGAACTTGAGGGTCGAGGTTTTCTAAGAGTCATTATATATAGTTATTTTTGCCTCGTCTATATACTGAAAGGAAAACAAATCTGAACTTGTCTTAACCACTTGAGCTACAAGCCTTTTGAATATATATTGTTTCTCCCATTACTTATTTCCCCAAATCACAATTTGGCACATTTGTAAAAATAATTTTATCAACAACACAAAGAAAAATATTTGCACACTATCAAACTAAATTTAGCAGGAAAATAGGAGGCAAATTCCTACCATAAAATCTTGAAATACTTAGCCCAATAATTGGTAAGCAGAACAGTGGCCATTTTGCATTACTTTCCAAAATGCCTATAGACCATTTACTATTCAAAAGCCGATATTAAGAAACTGAAAAGGAAATTGTAGGGGCTGTATATCTCAGTAGCATACTAGCAAATCATGTTAATGAATCACAAAAATGCAACTCAACCAGTTTAATCAGTTAGTTTCCCTCCAGCATTCATGGGTAGAAATCTCATATACCTGTAATGCATCATGTATGCTGCTGCCACTGGTTTGACTCAAAAGGAAGCGGAGCGGGTGAGCCTTGGCTTGGCTATCTTCTTGTCTTCTTCAAGAGAGATTAGTGAAAGATTGGCTGGGTTCTCAATCATCAGTTTAGCTAACAGATATCCGGAGATGCTCCAGGTCTGGTACTTCCTTGCTTGCTTCCCGATATATCTCCCTGCCTTGCCGTCATAGTATTCTGGCCACCCGTCTTTTGAGAGCCGCTGCTCCACCTGTTCAATTGCTCTCTTAGCAGTCTGAGGCCTCCCCGTCTTGATACATGCTGCAGTAAGCAACCACAGCAGTGCTACAAGACAAGACGCAACAACATTAACCAATTGTTTTTGAACAAACACATAAGTCAGAATTCTGTGAACAAGCATCAAAATATCATGAATAGCACAACCATTTGGAACGCTTTCCCAAATTACATTCAGAAATGTATCCCACAACATTTATATACCAGAAGATTTTGATTGGAAACGTGGTTACAATCAGCAAATAAATATGTTTAAAATAAAAGATACTATGTCAGATAAGTAGTACTTGTAGCCTAGTTTACTAAATAAAAACAATAACTAGCCTACTCATATAAAGTGGGTACTAATGTTCATGAAATGTAATTGAAAGGTCTTAGTCAAATAGAACAAGCACTAGGCTTCAAGTAGAAAAATAGAACCGCAAATTGTAACATCAAGCAAATAGACACAGGGGACATTATCTGAAAGATTTACAAATCAACAAAAACTAACAAAACCAGCCTTGAGCCACCAATATTTAAGCAAAAACCTTTATACTTTAATGGTGAAAATGACTACTAGAGGTGCTAAAATGAATAAACATAGCATGTAACAGAGACAAATCAAAACAAGACATGAACAAAAAGAGCAGAAAAGATAAAGAGCTAATGCAAATAGCACATTGTGATAACACCATCTCCATGAGACTTACTTGGCCAAGAGCCACCATTGTGATAACTCCATCGTGTGTTCTTCGGATCAAACCCCGTGACAGTCCTCCACTCATGTCCCTCTAATGCTGGGTATACAATTTTCAGAGGCATCTCCCCGATCAAGTCCTCCCACCGCTCCTCAATCAAGTCCATAATAGCTGTAGCTTGCTCAGGTGTTGCTAGAGAACTAAGGATGGCAATACAATTCCCAACTAAAAACCACCTGAAGTCCATCCGAGCTGGGCTAACATTGCCAATCAAATACCCTCCTCTCAAAGGCATGAAATCAAAAACCCAGTCAGGGATGGATTCTGGAATCACATTAAACTTGTTGACGGCAGTATGGGAATACTCCTCAGTTTTGTAGCGGTATATGTTGTTTAGCTGTGCAAAATCAAGCCAGTAATACTTCTGAATGTGAAAGCTTAGAGCTGTGATGCGCTTATCTATCCGCTTAAGAAGTTCCTTACCACCAAGCTCTGGCTTCAACAGTTGCCTTGCACACCTCAATGCAAAGTAGAAAAGTGACTGAATCTCAATTGGATAACCATAAATCCCCTGTTCAAAAAGCAAGCAAAGTTGGTGAAATTCAATTCATTGGAGCCTCTAATTCTGTTATTCCTTGAAGTCAGGTATCAAGTAATCTTATAAACGATCTGTACGCCATGAAAGTGCACAAATGATAATCTAGCTTTATCTAGCTGCCCAAATGGCGGTTGTGGTAATATTAAATCAAGCTTTCAACACATATATGCGTGTATTAGAACGTGTGTATATATGTTTTGTCATATACAATGCATATGGACTTTTGGATTATTTATCCATACTCATACTCATTATACTATGCCAAGAATCCTAGAAACAAAAAAGAAAAGACTCACCATCCTCCTATCAATCATGCTACAGCCGTCAGCACAGAGAAGTGTCGGGAATGTGTCAAAGCCATCTGACAAGCATAGGTTGAGAATTAGTTTCATTCCCTTCTGCACCTCAGGAAGCTCTGCCAGTGTATGGTCACGAGTGCATTTGGTGTATGATCTCAGTAAAATGATCCACCAGAACCCAGAATCGACAGGAGCAACTCTTCCAATTGCGCTGCCACCAAAATCTGCAACTAAAGTTTCCTTCCCACGATATTGATCAAAGAGAATCTTAAAACTTGCAGGCATAACACCTTCTCCAAGTGTAAAATTATCAATCCTCTTCTCCCAACCTTGGAGGTGGAGGGTCTTTAGGAGGAAATTCTTTACAATATCTAGTTCAGGGTCTTTTTGCATCAGGCAGGCCAAACCAGTAGGTACAAAATCTCTCACAAACACCTGCAGGTTCATATGATAATCAAATCTCTCACTACACATAAATTTCTCATCTTAGTCGCTATTTATTATGCTTAATGCCTAACAATTTAAGCAATATAAAGGACATTACTTACGACCAAGTGATCAAATCTACAACAACAACAACAAAAAGAAAAACATATCAATTACATGAATGCACTGGATCAAATTTAATTTATCAAATCTCTTTCACACTAACATGGGATTCATATACCAGTGCTTTACCTAGATCCAAATGGTTATTGATGTACACAGCGCTTCAATTGCCTACCCAATCTTTGATATATTATTTGTATAATGTCATCTATCAGCAGAGAAACTAATAGGCTAATTTGTGCCACAAATTATTAAATGCATGACTCCAAACAGACACAAACACTAACAAGTACTCAATTTCCAGTAACTAAATTGCAATTCATACCAACAGAGATCAAAGAGATATGTGCAATATGAAAACTAATCAACAATTAACGAGAATCGTTTGGTATACCTGATTGTAGTTCAAATCTTCGGCCATTGGATCCATAGCTGCAAGAGTGCCCACCGGCTTGCCTTTGAAGTACACGTAGGACTTCTTGAGTCTCTCCCATGCCTCCTCCACCATCGCTATGCTCTCTGCCGTACTACCACCACCGTTGGATCGCATCTTCGGCGAACCTTCAACCTTCCAAAGTTCAAAGTTCTCAAGGCTCGCCCCCACACTTGGACACGGCTTCAGCACCCCTGGCTTCGCCACGCTCACACCATCCGAAACGTTGTCGTCGCACTGGAACTTCGCCAACTTCTTCGCCGGCTGCTCCTCACGCATTTCGTTCAGTCTCGGTGCATTGACATTTTCCAAAGATTCTGTACACTTCTCGGAGTTCGCCATCTCCGTCGGAATTGAATCAGAGGTGATCGAACTTTCTTTCTCGCATGAATTCGAAATTTCAAACAGTAAGGAATCCGTTGAATTCACACTCGAATTTGCACCTTCATTCTTCAAATATTCGGAATCTTTCTCCGCCGTTTTTGTCTCAGGTGATTCTTCAGATACCGGAGCGACTTGTGGCTGAGGATCACCGGACGACGAGTCAGATTCCACAAAGAGCTGCGAGTTTTCAAGATTATTTTCTTGTATCGGCGAACGGCTCAGCTTCTCCGGCGAGACGTCCTTGTCTGCGGAGTTCTCAATCACCGCCGGCACCGGAGCGAGAGGCTGAGCTTCCTCTGCTTTCTTTGTTTCGGTGAGGAGATCTTTGAGCGTTTTCGCCATTCTCTACAAAATGGAGAAAAATTTTGAAACAGAGCTAGAAAATCAGTGAACAGAAACGAAAATACAGAAGATTTTAGAGGAAGAAGCTGACGCTTTGAGTGCGAGAGAGAGACCTTCTTCAATTAATCTCGCAGCGTAGAGAGAAAATGTGTGTGTGTGTGTCCGTACAAAAGTAGAGAGAGAAAGACAGAGAGAGTGTTGAGTTGGGTGTGTGAGTGAGGAAAGGATCATGGAGGGCGCTGGTTTCAGTTTGGCAGTTAGAAACGGAATTGAAGAGAGAATCTGCGAGGACTCGTCTGGGTGGTGGGAATATTTTCATTTCGATGGGGGCATTTTCGGAAATCAGCATTACTGACCGTTCGTCTACGCGGGAACGCTTCCACGAGCCCAACAAGGATTCTCCTACAATTCTTCATTGCTCAATTTTGGGATGAAATGTAAACTATAATAAATTGTCAAAAAGCCACTTTTTATTCCTGTAATTTGATGAAATTTTCACTTTCGTAGTTTTAATTCTGGAAATTTAATTCATGTAATTTTTATTTATTTTTTCTAATTTAAGAACATATTCAAATTTTCATGCATGCATTTGGTATATGATATTAGTAAAATGATCCACCATAACCCATAATCGACAGCAGCAACTCTTTGCTACCACCAAAATATGCAGCTAATTCCAACTAAAGTTTCCTTCCCAACAATATTGATCCAGTGAACTTTAAAACTTGCAGGCTGAACACCTTCTCCTATTGTAAAATTATCAATTGTCTTCGCCCACCCTTGGAGGTGGAGAGTCTTCAGGAGGAAATTCTTTACAATATCTAGTTCGGCCTCTTTTTTCATGAGGCATGCCAAACCACTAGGTACAAAATCTATCACAAACACCTGCAGGTTCATATGACAGTCAAAGCTATCACAACACCAAAATTTCTCATATTAGTCACTCTGTTTCATTCTATTTACAAAGGGTCCCCACTATCTTTCATTCAGTTATATGCACGTATTTCACCTTTAGCTAGTTTAGCATAAGTTGTTAGGTTGATAAATTTTTAATTCGATTAAATTGAAGTTGAATTATATTATATGTTACGCAATTCATAAGCCGATGTGAACCTGGCGTCAACGTTGACGTCACAGCTCACAAGCAGAAGCTCGGGCTAATCTTGCACAGGTTGGTGGAGCCCATCTCTTGACCTAGCAAGATTTGTGCTATGGAAGCTGATTTTGAGGCCTAAGGGGCCTTTTGCCTTGGCTAAGCTATTGGGGTGGCTCTAATAGTGGTGTTAGGGGTGTACGTTGGTTCAAAACCAATACAATTTAGTCCATCCGCATCTGATCAAATATAGATTGAATTGTGATTTTTTCAATTCGATCCAATCATATTAGATGTTCAAATCCAATTCGATCCGATCCAATTGATATTGGATTGGATTGGATGATTGATTTTGATAATAATAATAAAAATAATGAAATATTAAACATTTAGCCTTATGTTTAATATAATCAAACATATTAATAAACATAAATGTGAAATATAAATGAAATATTAGAGAAAATTATTTTGATTATATAATATATTAAACATAACTCCATTAAATGACTTAAAATATTCATAACCCTTTCAACGACAAATACCTACAATAGCAAAATAAGCATAAAACTAACTAGATTGGATTGTATTGGATTCTCATTAGTAAATCCGTCATCTAATACAATTATGTCGGTTTTCAAAATTACAGATTCAATCCAATCCGCTAAATCTTCGAAACTGATTAAAATTGAATTAGATTGGATTGAATTGGTCAATTTAGGCGAATTGAATTGGATCTTGTATATCCCTAAGTGGGGTTATTAGGGTTTGCAGTGGTCTGGGCTGCTGCTAGTAAGCTTATTTCTTCATTTTTATTTTTATTTTTAAAATTTAAAAGGGGGACAAAGGCTTATTTCTGTTTGTTGTATTTGTTTTGCTTGTAATACTGTTGGGCCTTGTGTCTTATCTTTGGGCCCAGTCTCTATCGGATGTAATGTTTTTCAGTAACTATGGTGTCAACCCTCACATGTGGGTCATGTGCTCTCCTTGTGAACGTTCACGCTTCGGAAAATTGCACACCACATTGAATTATTCATCACATAAAGGAACCATGCATGCCATGCCACGCATGCAACTTATACGTTGGTCGCTCATCTTTTGTTTGTCGTAAAAGTTAGAAATACAAACTTTTGCCCTTCACTCGTATTATAATAAGTTGACAGGTTATGTCACACGGTCATATTTTAATATCATACAATTTCTATAATTGAATTGTAAGAATTGTTATTTTTAAAGATGGGCACAACTTAGAGTCAACTCGACCAAATCGTCTAATATGATCATAAGATGGTTGGGTTTGTTTGAGTTGGCTTAATAATAAGCAGGTTTTAAATTCAATAAATCATAAATCAATATATATAGGGTGTTTTGCGATTGGAATCGAAACTTAAAAGTACGCTTAATTTTAGGTTAATTCGATCGAAACTATTATAATCAGATTGAATGTACTATGATCGGGTTGACCCAAAGTTGTACCCACCCTTAAGTTGGGATGGTCTATTAATAAGAGGGTTCTGAATCCAATAAATCATAAACCGCGCAATGTATAAATGGTTTACAAGTTAGGGCCAAAATCGCCAAAACTAATAACCAAATCGAGTTGATCGTGTTATGGTTGTTTCTCTTATGTATACAGTCCTCTTCTATTAAGGGATCCCTCAAATAATTTTATTTAAGGGACGCCCTTTAGGGTACCCTACAATTTTTTTCCCAATGATCCAAACCATTTATCTTTTAGGTCATCATTCATAGATCATCCTTACAAAAAATTAGACAAATTGAAAACCGTTTCGACATCCAATTGTGTCTTACAAAATCAATGAACACGGTGATTCAAGAAAGTACTAAAATTTCAATAACTCAAATGAGTGGTCAAATGATATCGGATTCAAGTAATTTTTTATATAGATGATCTTTGAATGAGTATCTACAAAATAGACGGTTTGGATTAGTGAAATACAATCCGGAGTGGGGCCTACAAGGGGTGTCCCTCAAATAAACGTGAGTAAAGTGCATAGAATTCAGTGCGGTGACGTGAAGAAAGGGAATGGGCTATCCCTATCGGCCAATGATAATCAAAGGCACTCAACTAGAGTGGCAAGCCAACCAATAGAGAACACATAACTGAAGAGTAAGAGTGTCGTGGTCAAAACTCCTTACCTAGCCTGTACTAAACTTAATTTTGGTCGAAGTCAAAGTGCTGCCAGCAAGCTCTATGCGGACTGCCCTTCTTACTTGGTTTGAGTTGTATTATGGCCTATTAACGATACTCAGACAGAAGGAAAAAGAAAGGGGTTTACAGTCGGAACCACATAAAACAAAGCTTAACCTTAGGGGCCCTATGAAACGTACGGGCGAACCGAAGCTCAAGCCCGCACTATACCAGTCTCATTCAGCTACGCAACAAGCCAAAGCACGCCTAGCGCGCTCTGCAACCTCACACACAGGACCTCAGAGAAGCGCCACAAGCGGAATGGGGAGGTTACTAACCAACTGGAGCAACTAGTCTTGTTCGAAAGCCTCAGGTGAAAGGGCAGCTCACTTATAGCTTCAAAGCGGGATTCTCTGGCCTATAATATAGCATCCTTTCGCTTTCCAAGGATACTAGGAATGACCCGTGAAAGACAGGATCCTCTCAGCTGGACACTACCTGGGCATCGACACAGAATCAAAAAAGAAAGAAGTCTTTCAGTTCAGGCATTAATTGATAAAGTGGGAGTCTTACCGGCGTTGGTGGGACCAGTATTGGTGGGTTCATCAGGTATCGCTTATTTGAGGGATCCCTCAATGGAAGCTCTCTGTATATATATATATATATATATATATATATTATATACAAAATAAGACTTAAAAAGAAATTATTTATAAAAAAAACTTAGAAACACAATACAATTGGTGAAAATAAGATTTATTTACAGACGTGGCAAACCACCAAGTAGCATTTGTAACTTTTGACCTTTATATGTAAAAAAAACAAAGCAACCAAATCAGTTTTTCCAGCCTTCAACTCTTTCTTTCTCCAGTCTGTAGAGGGAACATTACAGACGAAGCAAAGCAAAGAAGGACAGCGTGTAAGGCAGTGGAAAAGAAGAAAAATACTGAAAAATGGATTTCGTATCTCTGCTGGTCCCCTTTTTCGTGTTGAAGCTTGTCATCAAGTTAAAGCACAATTCCTTCATCATTACGAGTCTCTTCCACGCAACCCTCCATCCCCACCACCACCACCACCATTAATTCCCTCCTCTACCCGACACGCACATTCTCTCTCTCTCTCTCTCTCTCTCTCTCTCTCTCTCTCTGTGTGCAACACTGCACCTTTATCATGAGCTTCTCTTGCAAAATATAGCAGAAAACCCAATTTAAATTGGTCATCGCCGTCGCTGATTTCTCACCACATTTGTTAAATTGCGCGGGTATTTGGTTCCGTTTTGCCAATTCTGTTGTGAGTTTTTTATATTATATCGAATTTTAGATTGAATTTAGCAGATTGTATTCTGGGTATCTGATTTCTCAGTCATGCCTGGCTTAGCCTCACCCAAAACACCATCCCAGACCATTTTCGTGCCCGACCCGACCCGTAAAATACAGCACTTCAATGGTACCAAAACCCCGTCACCTTCCACCTCACGACCGAAAGCCTCCAGAAAAACGCAACCCGTCGATGAGACTTCGCTCGACAACCCGGATCTGGGTCCGTTCTTGTTAAAGCTCGCCCGGGATACTTTCGGGTCGGGCGAGAGCCCGAACAAGGCTTTGGACTACGCCATTCGGGCTTCCAAGTCATTCGAGAGGTGTTCGGGTCCGGGTCTGGACCTCGCTATGAGCTTGCACGTTGTGGCCGCGATATACTGTAGTTTGGGCAGGTTTGAAGAGGCTGTTCGGGTTTTGGAGCGGGCAATTGAGGTCTCGGATCCGGAAAACGGGCCGGACCATGCGCTGGCTAAGTTCTCCGGGTACATGCAGCTGGGTGACACGTGTTCGATGCTAGGACAGCTTGAGCAGTCCATTTTATGTTACGAGTCGGGTTTGAAGATCCAAAGGGAGACTCTGGGCGGGTCGGATCCGAGAGTTGCAGAGACTTGCAGGTATAAGCTCTATTTTCTCAGCTCAATAGGCTCATTTTAATGCTAAAATGCGCCCTTTTTTTGGGTAGGAAAAATGATAGACTGGTACTAATGTTGGGCCCACATGTTTCTCTGATTATTTGGGTTTGGGTGGATTTAGTTGTTGCATTGGGATGTGGGTTGAATATAGTCTTCACACCTTCCTGTTTCTCAATGTTAATTTAAAAATAATTAGCTAAAATTGTTAATTTAATAATACTAATTAAAAATGGATTTGGTTGATGAGGTTTGTTGAAAACAATGGCGGATTTTGAGCACACTTGATTAGTTACAAATTTTGATTATGAAACAAGTCATTTGTAATTTCTCATGTATTTTCAAAGTAATTGCATTTCTGGTTGGTAATGTTTTAAGGGGTTGTTTTCATTTTCAGAAAATAAAAATGAGGCAAAAACACTTTCGGTAGCCCAAAAACAGAAAACATTGAGAATGTTTTCATAAAATGAAAACAAGTTCATGTGTACTTGTAGAAAACAGAAAAAAGTTGTTTTCATTCTCATGGGAAACATTTTCATAAAAAGAACTCACATATTATTATTTCAAATTGTACTACCAGACACGTTTTCATTGTTTTTGTTTTCTGAAGATGTTTTTTAATTAATCTACCAGACGCATTTTCATTTCCTGAAAATACAAATTCGTTTCTTGTTTTCATTCTCTGAAAATATTCTAAGAAAACATTCTCCGAAAATGTTACCAGACGGGCCCTAAGTAACCGCATTTCATTCTTTGATCATTGAGGCTTCAAAAATATTTTGGTGAAATAAAATGAGTGAAAATACCCGAAAAATTATAGAAGGGTGCTGGAAACACTAACGCAACTGCATTGCATTGTGTGTGAAATGGCATTGGAAATGAATGGCAGGTACCTAGCAGAGGCCCATGTCCAAGTAATGCAATTTGATGAGGCCGAGAACTACTGCAAGAAGACTCTTGAAATTCGAAGGGAGCATAGCTCACCTGCGTCTGTTGAAGAGGCTGCTGACCGGCGTCTCATGGCTCTCATCTATGAGGCAAAGGGAGATTATGAATCAGCACTCGAGCACCTTGTTCTTGCAAGCATGATTATGATTGCCAATGGGCAAGACAATGAGGTTGCTGCTATCGACATGGGCATTGGTGACATTTACTTGTCTCTTTGCCGCTTTGATGAGGCGGTTTTTTCCTACCAGAAAGCACTTACAGTGTTCAAATCCACAAGGGGTGAAAACCACCCTTCTGTAGCATCAGTTTTTATTCGCCTGGCTGACTTGTATTACAAGACAGGCAAGCTAAGAGAGTCCAAATCCTACTGCGAGAACGCGTTGAGGATATACGCGAATCCTTTGCCTGGAATCATATCTGAGGAAATTGCTAGCGGGTTGACTGAAATCTCAGCCATCTACGAAGCTGTCAATGAGCCTGAGGAGGCGCTAAATCTCTTGCAGAAGGCAATGAAGTTATTAGAGGACACCCCTGCACAGCGGAGCACTATTGCAGGAATAGAAGCGCAGATGGGTGTTATGTTCTATATGGTTAGGAGGTATGGGGAGGCCTGGAGGTCCTTTAATAGTGCTATATCAAAGCTTCGGGCCAGCGGGGAGAGGAAATCAGCACATTTTGGTATTGTGCTGAACCAGATGGGATTGGCTAGTGTGCAGCTGTACAAATTAGAAGAGGCTGCTCGGCATTTTGAAGAAGCAAGGGAGATTCTGGAGGAGGAGTGTGGCCTTTGTCACGTGGATACTCTTGGAGTATATAGCAACCTTGCAGCAACTTATGATGCCATGGGAAGGTAACTGATCTTTGATATTCATGTGAGCTGTAAGGGTTTTGTTTGTGCTTTCTGCTATGTTGAAAGGAAATGAAATGTTAACTTTCTCTAGGGTTGTTCAATCTAGAAATTATAATTGAATCATTCTCGATTCTACGATAAATCCTGCTCTAGGGGGTCTTACTATTGATGTTTAAGTTCTATAATGCTCTAGTTTAGTTCCTCCATTGAACATGAAATTCTGTTACTTATTACAGAGTAGAAGCTGCAATTGAGATGCTAGAGCACATTCTAAAGGTGAGGGAAGAGAAGCTTGGGACGGCACATCCAGATTTTGACGACGAGAAGAAAAGACTGGCTGATCTTTTGAAAGAAGCAGGAAGGGCTAGGAACAGAAAAGGAAAATCACTTGAAAATCTACTTGGTTCCAACTCCCACCAAAGGACGAAGAAGGAAGGAGTGAAGAGGTGGGCTGGCTTTGGACACAAAACTTGACCAAGAATATGACTCTCTCCCTCAGCTCTTTTTTCCCTGCTGCAAGTTTTATTTATTTGGCAGATTTTGTAGATATCAATGGATTTCAATTTCCACTTGGTTTTCACTTTGCTGTCTTTGTTTAGTCACTCGTTTCCTGGAATTGCTTCTCTTGTGAAATTTAACCTGTTTTCTCGGTTATGTCATGTGTTTGCACTTACTGTTCTTGGTATCCTGTTCGTCTCTCTGGAAATAAAGTATTGTGAAATTTAAACCTCATATCAAACTATTTGTCGAGAGTATTATCCCACATCGAAAATAGAAGCCTTGCATTAGTAATTTAAATGATTCTGGGCCTCTAACGGTCACACATACTTCTACCTCACTCAATAATATATGTTGTCAACGTATTGGCTTGAGTGACGCTACACGTGTATCCTCGTAAATAGAAGCCTCGAAGTTACAGATAAATCCTTGCTCGGACACTTACCACGTGTGAAGTATGAAAGCTCACGGAACTTTCTTATGTGCTTGTAGTCTAGCTGCAGTCCAAAAACCACAATAGAAGTCATAAAAGCCTCCAAAACCACACGGAAATTGAGCTTTGGAAAATGGTAATTAAACTTGCTCCAAGTAACTGCCAACACAAATTTCTACCACATGGTGCTGTCTTTGGTGTGGTTCCAGAATTTAATGAAAAGACAAACTGATCAGCAAAAAGTTGAACATCACCAAACATGAGTTTGATTTATTGGAAACTGACTTAATCTTCAAAACTGCAAGATCTGAAAAATCCACACTGGGGGTTCACTGTTAGGTCCACTGTTCCAACAGTGAGGTTTCACAATTTTCAACCCTCATATTATAGCTCAAAACTGTCCCCTAGTGGCCGCCTTCCTTGCACTTAACCTTTGAATTTTGGCACCCCAACTATCAACCTATTATTCCTTTCAACATCTTGGCAAACTTTAGCTGCTCTTCTCTTATATATATACACAAACTGGAGAGCTTCTTTTGAACCATCCTTGAACTAACAAAACATGGACACCCAAGTAGTACCAGTGCATAGTAGGGTTCATCAACCATGCGCAGCTTGCCGGATGCTACGCCGAAGATGTGACAGAAATTGCTCACTTGCACCATATTTCCCAGGTGAGGAGATTGAGAAGTTTGCTGGTGTGCATAAAGTTTTTGGTGCTAGCAATGTGATCAAAATGATTCAGGTGAGTTTCTGTGGTACTTGAATATGCTTAGAACAGAGTTCTGTTAGAATTATTATTAATTAAACATCAGCTAAGATATGGCAATTGTATTTTGGAATCAGATGGTGGAAGAGACAAGAAGGGAAGATGCAGTGAAAGCTCTAGTGTATGAAGCAAGAGCAAGGCTCAGAGACCCTGTTTATGGCAGCACTGGAGCTATTTTCCATTTGCAGAAGATGATTGAAGAACTCAGATCCCAATTGGAATCAATAAGATCTCAAGTCTTGGAGCTGCAACAACACAGAGATCAGTTGTTGGGCATTCTCATGAACAATGTTCATTGCCTTGAAGATGATCTATTCTCCACCATGCAACATGACCCAATGTTTGGTGGTGACGTATAATCCTGTTAGATATTTTATATAATTATTCATGAACATATAGATGTGTCATATGTAATCAGTTTGAAGACTCCTTAATCTCCCTTTGCATAACTTGTTTTGGTTTGTAAATTAAGCCCCTTTTTATAAAAACACAATAAATGTTTGGGATTGATCCATATTTTTTATTTATCACACATCACTTTCAGTTTTAATTCCTGAAGCAAAAATGAAGCGATATTGGGGAGAAGAGAGTCGAACCTAGAATGTAGGAACTCAATGACAAGAATAGCGGTATTATTTGGATCCAATTTTCTTGTGTTAACTAACTTGTTGACTTTAAAAATAAAAAAAAAGCTCCAGTTGGCTTCCAGGCCATACATGTTGGTAATGTATTGGAAAAGGAATATACAAGGCTATGTCCATTTCGCTTCAAATAGGCCATGATGATATTTGAAATTGCACTTGCCTAACTAACAATGCCAATCTACAAAGTTGATGGCTTTTGCACGCAATTTTCAAAACAGCACACATTGGTGCTCAATTTTCCAGTCAAAGTCCTCAAATAAGTCCAACTACAACAGGGAGTGAATCAAAGCAAAACTAACTTCTAGATACAAACTTTCCTTATCAGAAGCCACAATTAGTAAAATAGGGAGCAGAAAAACACAAATAAAATATGTGCATTTATTATTCGAAAAATTTTTTATATGAAATAATACGGTTAAAAATTTGGTCATTGTAAAGTATTTTCATATAAACTAGCCTTTCCGGAGAGGTTTTTTTTTAAAATTTCTTTTAGAATTAAAAAATAATAATAGTTGTTGTGTTCCATAAAAAAGGACCTATTATCTAATTTTGTTTTAATATGAAAAAAAAATATGAATTTACCATATTATCCTTATTTAATTAATAATTTCATCTTAATATTTGAATTAACCAATGTCATTTTCTGATATAATACGTGTATAATATATTGATTTTTAAAAACGTATTTTTTGTCATATATTTAAAAAGTGTATGAAAAATAAGTAATAAAAAAAATGTATATATGCATCCTACGTGAATTTATTTCGTATTTCACAATTTTTTTTCTTTAAAGACTAATAATTACAAAAATTGACAACGGAGTTTTTTTTTTTTGGGTCAAGAAAATGCAAAAATAAAAACCAGCCCAACACTAATAAGTACAAGGCCTCAGCCCAACATAAATAAAAAAGCCACATAAAAAAAAACCTAAAACAAACATCTAGCTCAATACAAACACAAATGAAGAATCCTAAATTTGAACCTTGTGTGTAAGAGAACCCCTCTCCCAATATCACAACTACATATTAATACCCAAATTTTAAAAGTCGTTACAAATATCGCTTGTATTAAAATAAAATAAAATCTAACCCTACACATATCCTTAAAAATTAACTGATCCACAACAGCAGGAGCATCATCCCAAATATGAAGACCCAAAGGCTTGGTGCCCCAATAGAAGCAAGCATATCAGCAACGGTATGCTTTCTCTAACGATATGATGAATTCGGAAAACACCACCAGTTATGATAGCTTTACATTTTACAGCTAAAGACAAGAGTGAACAGCGAGTGAAGAGGATCACAACTAGGCGCATTCAAAAGATCCACCGCCAAACGAGAATCGGACTCCACAATAAGGGGAAAATAGTTGGATTGGTTAGCAAGCCGCAAGCCATAGAGGGTGGCCCACAATGTTAGCAGAGAATCCACCAACCCAGTCCCCATTGACATTTCTGATTAAACCACCAGCACCAATAATCCCTTCCTCACCTTTCCTGCAGCCATTAGTATTTAGTTTCCACCAACCAACAGGAGGAAAATTCTTGTCTGTTTCTCGCCTTTGTTGTCTTTCTTTCGGGTTTGAATGAAAGCTTCTATTGACCACCAAAAAAAAAAAAAAAAAAAAAAAAAAAAGGGAGGAGGAATAATAAGGACCAAGTCAATCTTAAGCGGCCTTACTATTAGTTATTCAACTTGGCACATATCCAATCATTGGCAGCTTGACAGACATTCCATTGCAATTGATTCACTAAGACCCAAGAAAGGCATTCATTGTTGAACCTTCAGGTCCATACTTCTTCTTTGGGCTTGGAATTCGTGCTAGGGGCTTTTACTTGTGAATTGGCCTCGGCATTGAAAGCTTCAATGGCGTGCCTTGTGTTCATTACCCTCTCTGTACGTCTCTCAGCTTCACATTGCTTCACAAAGGTAAACAGGTAAGTTCACATTTACCAAACTTGTCGTCAACAAAAAAAACTCTAGCTTTTATCCTTGAGCTGCTGAAACAATCTTAGAAAACTTGGGATTTGAAAGCAGGAGTGGGAAAATGCTTCAGGAACAGGTTTTCTTATTCAATCTCTTTTCTCAATTGCCAGTTATGCTTACTGTTATACTTGGATATAAAAAAAGATGAGATATTTAGTAATATACCTATTCTTAGCACTAAAACTATAAATAAACCCTACATCATTTCATTTTTATAAACATACCCAAAAAATGACAAATGGTACTATTAAATTTAATTTTAATTATTAAATTACTTTGATACCCTATTGAGTGTTTTGGGTTTTTTTATGAAATTTTGGGTTGGGTTTGTTTTAAGAAATTAATGGCAATTTTGTAATTTAAAAGAAGTTAAAAGCCTTTTTGTTATGTTATAAATGGGTTTTTGGTGTGTTTATAAATTTCATTTCATATAGAGTTTTTTTATAATTTGGGCTCCTATATTGAGTATATTAGTAAATCTCCCAAAAAAGAAAAGCAACTCTAAAAAGTGTTCTTGTAACCCATAAGCAATATTTATGCCAAACTTCTCAGCAACGCTTTTGATTGTCATGCATTGCATTTTGACATGTCAATAGCATTACTAAACAGACCCTAAATATAGTTGATCCCCTATTTTACTTTGCATAAGTTGTCAACTAAAGGACTAGAATAATAACAAGACAAGTTAAAACTATGAGTGCATGGGCAGTGGCGGATCTAGGAATTTTTCAGGGAAGGGGCAATGTTAAAAGGCTAAAACATCCGAAAAAATAATAATAATAACCAAATAGCCTTACAATTTAAACAACACTAATATTATCCATAATTAAAATAAATAAGACTGTCTAAGCCTAATTGACTATAATCTATTTTCTATATAAATTAAATGCACAAAATTCATGTTACACAATTATTTACCAAAATTAATATCAAATATGAACAAAATGCATGTCAATTACACAATTAGTCTATCAAAATTCATATGAAATCATCCATTAATCTAACCAAAATCAATACCAATTAATCTAACCCAAAGTACATGTGATTTGGAGGTCACAAGATAAAAGTAGATGTGATTATGAGTTTGGGGTATTTTTCGGTGAATTTTTTGGAGAACATATGAATTTTTAACGAATTTCTAAATTTGGTCTAATTAAAATTTGACACATGGCGCCCTGATAGTAGACCATATTAAAAAGGAATGCAAGTTGAGAAGCACAGGATTCTAACTACAAACACAAGTCATCTTCTTCTTCGGCTGATTGTGTCTGCAACTTAAGTGAAATTTTTTCAAAATCTTCTAAAATCTATAACTTTGGTTGTGGAGGTCCAATTGATGAACCGTTTTCTCCTACGTGATCGTGAGATCGAGCTCAACAATCTAAGGTAAATATTCAGGGTCTCACACAGCAGCAACAAAACGGCATCTTTGAGGCTTTTAATCGAACACTTGGAGGGCACAAGCAAAGGGGCAAATTCCTGCATCTCCAACCCATTTTCCTGCGAGAGGAGGTGCACCTGCACCTCCTTGCGCCTCTGTGGCTCCGCCCCTGTGCATGGGTGTTAAACTTAGGGTCCAAACTCTAGAATTCGATGTGTTTCTATATAAGTGATATTAGGGCAAGATAATTCGAAACAAGACCTTAGGGGAAACTACTCTTAACATTTGATTTACATTCCCCTTATTAAATCTAGTGTTTAAGACATGAGATATAAGTTATACTTAAGTTGCAGTTGATCTAATCTTTTACGTGAACAAAATATGACACAATATTGAAATTATTCTACGCGGTCAAAAGGAAGGAAGGAAGGATGGACAAAAACTAATTTATATTCAAGGATTTACAAAGTACATCGAACAACATGTACATAAAAAGAGACAAAATACACAGTTGTGATTATTGAAAAACTAAGACATCCCTCCCGCAATTGAAAATTAGGTTTTATAATACTTTTTATATAAAATGAAACTTAGGTGCAGATGGGCCGAATATTGGGCCTTGACGTTTGAGGACCAAGCTTTGCTATATTTTATGAGCCGAATATTGGGCCTTATTCTTTTGTAATTTTGGGCTGGGCTTCATTGATGGACCTAGGTGAAGATGAAAAAACGACATCGTCTAGCGGACCAGGAGGACGCCCTAATAACGTTGTTCCAAACTCTTCGCGAATCTCTGCCTCCCTCTCACTCTGATTCTGACTGAGGAGTTGCCAGCTTAAGCTCTACGGCCTCATTCAGGTATATTCAGTTTTCCCTCTCTAAATTATCTGTTTGGATGCCTAGAAAATCACAGAAGAAAATGCAAAAATCAACTTGTCATAAAAGTGAGATGGATATGATGGTGAAATAGTAAAAGGTTTGAGCAGGAATTTTTTGATGGCAGTGAAAAAACCGAAGAGGGCCCTAGTCCTTGTTAAAGCTTCTGCATTGCGACTTTCGCAACCTCTTCTAAATCAAACAGCACTGGGGTTTGATCTATAAGCCTCAAATATTTCTGCTGATCTCTCTCTCAAACATACACACACACTCGCCTTGCAATTGCTATTTTGGAACTAAGGTAAAACTGGATGCATGCGATATTCTAGTCTCCAACATTCTAAAATCGTACCCGTGCTCTGGTAGATTGCTTTTTCAGCCGTAGTTATTAATTTTTTCTGTTCAGTTAATAATTTTTCTTCATCTTGTATATGCCTTGTCCTTTTTGTGTGAATGTTGTGCATGCTCTCTTTTTGTGTTTGATAATGACATAGGAAGTGGCTCTATCTTCCCCCTTATTGTGACTGGCGGAAAAGGTGGTGATGTTGGACTTCATGATTTCTGGTACATTGCTACTAGAAGAGTCTAATATAGGTGAACAAGTCATGAAGACATCATTGAATATTGATATGCATCCTGGGAATGCTACCAAGCTTGGGGATCAGAATCAAAATGGAATTCTTTGGTATGTACCAAAGGCTCCCTCAGGTATAACCTGACAAATTTTCATGCAACATTAACTCTGAAATATCAATTCTTTGTCCAATTATCATTTAACCTTTTGATGAATTAATCTGAATGAAGGGAGAGTCACCAAGAAATCTATAATCCCAAAGTACCAGTTTGTTCTTAACGGGAAGCAAAGATGGAGATGTTAAGCTTTGGGACACCAAGAGAGCTAAGTTGGTATATCACTGGCCGAAATTGCATGAAAGGCACACAATTTTGCAACCAAGCACTCGAGGCTTTGGTGGAATAGTCCAGGTAAGTCCTTTGTTCATGCAATAATGTGATGACTTAAAGTCTTATATCTGTAGTTAGACATGTTAAATGATTTCCCTCATGTCGAAGGTTTTGCATATTGTACATTTTGTGGGAGGAGGTTTAGCCATAATCAGCTCATGCGTCTATTCAACCATTTTATGACCAAGGTATATACGGTCTGGTATAAGGAGAAACACAATATTGTTTGGATAAATTTGAGTATTCTCAGCTCCGTTAACATCTTTGACTTGCTCGTAATTGTGTAGATAGAAAAGAATGTCATTTTATCTGGCTGCAGGTAGAATTGCATATTAGCAACACCCCTAGAGTGTAGATAAAAAAGGGAAAGATTGTATTGGTTACTGAAAATGTATAAGATAATAACAATGCATTACTTAAAAAAGGCAATGTATTCAATTATTATTATCCTTCTTCTTCTCTCTCTCTCTCTCTCTCTCTCTCTCCTCTCTCTCTCTCTCTCTCAATATTGCTTCTGTTCTTGATAACAATGAAATCATTGAAATGCATAGGAAAAGTGGAGCAATGAAATTGTGGACTAGGGTATTCTAGAGAAGGGATAGATCAAAACGAGGTTGTGACGGGATGGCTGGATGGGAAATAAGCTTCAGCATTAGGTGCCAGAGTATTCTTGAGAGGATTAGGAATTTAAAGATGAAGTTTCTGTCAGCCGTGAGTCGTGGGTTTTGAGTTGCAGGGTTTTGAAGCTTGAAAGAAAAAGGTTGTGTTGGTGCATAATTGGGAAAAACACCAAAAATAAACCATCATTTTCATATAAACAAAAAGAAATAAAGTAACGCATCACCACTTTTAAGATAAATGACTTATTGCTAAAACCTAATATAAAGAAAAGATAAACATTTTCATATAAGAAAAAGAAAAAAATTGTTACCCATCATGCAGCCAATGCACCATATATCTGAGAAGCAAGTATGTGCACCAGATTGCTGACACAGTTCTGGGGCCCTATATCTCATCGGGGTCTGCAGCAAAATCTCTGAGCACCACCATGGCTGATATGTTGTCTACAATCATGGCATTGTCCCCAATGAAATATGTTTTCTGGTAGCAGCTCACATTGCATGCCCTCACCCTGGATTCCTTCCAGGCACTTCAGTAGTTGATACAGTAGGGACTTGATCCTCCCATCTACAACAACCAAGCCAGAAATACGAAACATACCCTCGGGTATGTTTTCAACCACTAGCCTGTGGGTTTTGTCATCTCCCTCTCCTCCAAGATTTTTGGCTTGGTTGAAAACATACCCGAGGGTATGTTTCGTATTTCTGGCTTGGTTGTTGCAGATGGGAGGATCAAGTCCCTACTGTATCAACTACTGAAGTGCCTGGAAGGAATCCAGGGTGAGGGCATGTAGTGTGAGCTGCTACCAGAAAACATATTCCATGGGGACAATGCCATGATTGTAGACAACATATCAGCCATGGTGGTGCTCAGAGATTTTGCTGCAGACCCCAATGAGATATAGGGCCCCAGAACTGTGTCAGCAATATAGTGCACATACTTGCTTCTCAGATATCTGGTGCATTGGCCCCATGATGGGTAACAATTTTTTTATTTTTCTTATATGAAAATGTTTATCTTTTCTTTATATTAGGTTTTAGCAATGAGTCATTTATCTTAAAAGTGGTGATGCGTTACTTTATTTCTTTTTGTTTATAAGAAAAAGGTTGTGATGGTGTTAGAGTATTCTTAAGAGGATTAGGAATGATATTGCTTGTGTTGGTGCATAATTGGAAAAAACACCGGGCTAAAAACTGGTTGACAAATCCCTTAAAAAAGAACTTATAATTTAAAAGGTGTGTTCTTTTTCCGAACTCGTGCGCGCAGAATTTGCTCAAGTAAAAAAAGAAGGGAAACGTGTCAGGCAAAGCAACAGCAATTCAATCCTTTTTTCATCTGTGGATCACCACCAAACTTTCTTTGCTTCATCTGCCAAAAAAATGCAGTGAAACTATTTTTTTTAAATTTGTTTTTGGTGAGATGGGGGTGAAAAGCCTCAAAAAACACAGTTACACAACAGCAATAAGACGAGTTCTATGAACTCCCATCAGATCCTCTTCTAGGTGAGTCCCTACCGACCTAGGAATATCAGCAAAGGAAACAAGTCCCAGGTCAAAATTGAAACTCCCCTTAGCCAAGCAGTCTGCAATCATATTCTTCTCTCTGTAGACATGCTTCACCACACATTTATCAATTTGATGCATAAGCTCCCAACAACTGGATAGCAAAGTAGCCAGAGGGTGTAAACCAAGTATATTGGAATTCTGAAAAAGTAGAACTGCTGTAGCAGAATCCATTTCAACAATCAAGTTGTTAATTCCCTTTTGCACAGCAAGTTTTAGGCCAAAAAACAATCCCCAAATCTCAGCTTCTAGTATCTGACCTTTCCCAAGGTTGATTGCAAACCCCCCAGTCCAGTTGCCCCGTTCCTCTCTTATCACTCCTCCAGCACCAATGGAGCCAGAAGCACATTTGTACGAGCCGTCAACATTAAGCTTGAGGTAGCCAGGGGGTGGAGGTTCCCAAGCAAGAATAATTTGGTAGTTGCCAGTTGTCTTTGTATTAGCTGAACGAGCTGTAGACCATTCTTGGGTTGCTTTAAGAATCACTTTCCTGGAGTCAAAAGGCAGGTCCTCCTCTTTGCCAAACACTCTTATATTTCGCCATTTCCAAATGTACCAACAGGTATAGGCAAAGGCAACAGTCCACGGGGTCTCAACCCGCCACTTAGAATTAGTTGTTAAATTAATTCTCAACCATGGCTGAAAGTCCAGCTGAAAGAAATGGTGAGCTTGGTTTCGATTTAGTATTAAATTCCACACATTTTTGGCCTTGACACAGTCACGCAAAATATGTAAAATAGATTCATTATGCCAGCCACATATACTGCAGGACGGATCATCCGTTAATTTTCTTCTTGCACGTTGCTCATTGGAAAGGATTTTACTTCTAGACACAAGCCAAACAAAGAACTGCATTTTTGGAGGGATTTTGAGGCCCCATATGAACTTCCAACTATCATCAGGTCACTCGGATGGAACGACAAATTATAGGCTGACTTCACAGAGAAAGTCCCATTAGCAGTAGGCTTCCATATTTGAACATCTGGTGTACTGCCTATGAAGTCAACAGGAGTATTAATGATCTTCTGTACAATTTCCTCCCCAAGAACAGAGCGAAGTTTATCAATATCCCACCAATCCTCCTCGAAGAAACTAGAAACAGGGCAGTGTAGCTCAATTACTTGAGGGTCTCCAGTGTAATGAATTAAGGCCTCATCAGTAATCCATTTATCTTTCCAAAACTTCACTTGGTCCCCCTTACCAATTCTCCACTTCATTTGGGAGTATGTGAAGGGGTGATGAATGTCTTGGTTTGCTTTCTGTACAACGCTCAAGGGGTTTCCCCAAGTCAGTGAAATTTTACCTGAAAATATTGCTAATGATGGATTAGTTAGTCCTGTAGGTATTTGAAGCATCTGAAACCTGCTCAAACCTTTTTTAAGCTCTGGCTCTATGTCTTCATTTCTAAATCAAATCCATGTGTGAATGTTGTACCTATGAATTTATGTGCGTCCCTGTTTGCATATGTTAACAGTTATTTATGGCAGATTTTCCTTTGTCTTTGATTCCATTTCTTCCACTATTGTGGTAAAATGTGATTAGGCACGTTTGTCCATATATTCAATATAGTTGTTGAAGTAATCGCAGTATGACATGCATAACATGTAATTGTAACCTTTTTTGTTGGTAATGACATGTTGTCATTTAGGCACCCTTGTTTATTTCTTCATGTTATTAGCCTTGTTAATGGCATGCATGACATGCTAAATGTTTTCCTGTCTTTCTGTGTGTAGATAAGTGCATTAATCTCCTACACCAGTCAAGTTAGAGCCCCTTTCTTCCATCCCCTTTAGATCTTTGTCTCATGTTCTATGTTTGTTTCTGTTCAATCGAAAGTTAATTTGTGCCGCCACTTGAAGACATCATCTAAACTTCCTCTGTGCACTTCCAGCATGTCGCAATGAAGATGTGGGCTATTTTTGTTTGAAGTTTCAACGAGTCTTGGTCAACAAGCGTGTGTGAGCAAACGTATATACTGTCTTGCAGTCTATTGGTTTTGGACGATTCTGTTCATCTCTAACATCTTCTGCAGAAATGATGTGGTTACTGTACAGCAAGCACCCGCTGGTTAATTGGATTTAGGTTTTGAATCATACATCATCATCATGGGTTATTTCTATTTGATTGTCTGCCCTATGAGCATGCATGTACACAAAAGGTGATATAGAACATGTGGTATCCCTAACATTTTCCTATTGGAAAACGCACTTGCCTAACTAACAATGCCAATCTACTTCTTCAAAACAGCACACTTTTGGTGCTCAATTTTCCAGTGAAAGTCCTCAAATAAGTCCAACTACAACAGGGAGTGAATCAAAGAAAAACCAACTTCTAGATGCGAACTAATTTCAAGAGGTATGTTGTACCTTGTAAGAAGTCATCTTAATACATTCAGAAGAATTTATATGAGATCTACTCTGCTACGTATGGCACCACCGTATGCAGAAGGTGCAATCCAATCCAAGGAGTCCTTCAAGTCAGAAATTTCTGTCGCTTCTGTTAGATTATTCCATGTACGGATTAAAACGTTCGGCAGAGGTGAAGAGTCTTTCAGAAATTCTCTGGAAAGATGATACCCTGCATCATCCACAACAAACAATTAGAAAGAAGGAAAGCATCACGTTATAAGGAGTAATTGCAGAACCAACTTATCAAGCATAGGCATTAGATATAAATACCTTAGTCTCATTAGCAAGGAGATACACTAGTTTGCTGCAACCAAATTCTTTCAGAAAATCTCTTAGGGTAGGAAAATGTTTCCAGGGACGAGCGATGGTGGATAACTCTTCGTCCCAATGGTCCAAAAGTTGGATGCAGGCTACCTCTAAATTTGGAGCTTTCACATGAAAATTGGAGTAGCTCACATAACCATTGAAATGGAAAGAATATAGATTTGGAGTATCGATTGTGGCCTTCACAGTTTGATGGCATCCATTTAAAGAAATCCATTGCAAGTGCTGAGCGTGAACGTGGATATATCTCAAGTTATTATATTTTCTGAGGAAAATCCGCTGGAGCGGAAATTGTGAAGAAACGACGGTAAAACATTCAAGATTCACAGCTTCACCAACTTCAACTTTGGAAGCCATGCAATCCTTGACCTCCAAGGATTTGAGACTGGAACTTGAAAGGGAATCCTCAAAAGAACATGAAGCTAGTGACAAGGACTCGATGGAAGGGCACTCCCGAATTAAGGAGAAGAGAGCATGGTTATCGAAGAACACACTTTTGAGGCACATGGTTTTCAAAGAGGGAAGAAGGCTAAGGCTTGTATGTATGGTGTGGTCAAAGCTTTTTATTCTCGCGTGCTCTAAAGTTAGAGCAGTCAAAGATTTTGCATTAAAAAAGGTCCTCCGAGATATGCGGTAGTAAAACGACCACCCACGATCCAAAGCATTCCAATCCAACTTCCTAATTCTGAGGCAGATATCTAACTCTTTCACACTTGTCTCAAATGAAAAGTCCAACCACTTATTTATAAGAGTTACGTCGTCTTTAGCTGAGTACCTTTCCATGTGGATTTTCAGTTTATCCCAGACATCTTTCTGCTTCTTGTGTTTTTGACGATATTCCAAATACTTTGCCAAGATGTTGTTGACGAACCTTTTATGTCGAAGTAAGTTTTCGGTGTCAATGACATCATTGTGGTGATGATAATCGTCAGGGTTGCCGCCCTCGTCGAAGTCTAGCGAGGGAAGGAGAGACCAGACACCTTTCCATTGCTTGGAAAGAGAGCTCATGCGGACTGCAGCTTTGGTGGGAAGACGTCGGAGAATTTTGTAGATAATATCGTCAGGCAAGTACGGCTTGTGTTTTTTGTTTGTGGTGGCCATGGCTCTTCTTCCTTTGTGTTTGGGTTTGCCGTGCGCACTCGTTTTCTCCTTCCAACGGTAGTAGCAGTCGAAGTGGCGGTTCTGGTTGACAAAAAATTGCGTACGAAGTTGTATGTTGAAGGCCCCTTGTATGTATATTGGGCTCTACATTGAAATCAATATTAATTAGGAAAACCAACATTAATATTATCCTATTAAATTAATATAGGAAACCCAAAGTAATCGGGATATATTATTATATTATTTGAAAAAAGGAAAAAGAAAAAGGCAACTCACAATATGCCAGGCGATATTTCCTTCCCTCTAAACTACTTTACTTACCCTTTTGTTTAGAGAGAGAGAAATTTATATTTTAGAGTCCTTCATATTTTATTATTTTAAGAAAAATTATGGTACAATACTCATATATTCCACAATTATGTATTAATTAATTTAATTAAACTATTATTTAGAGACAATATTTCATATATGACACGTATACGTTGATAAAAACAAGAATTTTATCTAATATTTCTTTAAACAACACGAATTGAAAACATTTAAAAATGTGACCACGTTTAAAAAATGAACGGATTTTAATGTTCTGATCTCCAACGATCATGATCAAGAATTTTTTATAATTTTTTTCAAACAACACTTGGAAACATCTAAAAAGCATCAGGTCCATACTTCTTCTACAGGCTTTTACTTGTGAATGGGCCTCCGAAAGAGCTTGATGCGCATTTGGGTCGGGTTTGGTTTGGTAATTAATTATAGTCCGAAAATGTTTGGGCGAAACTTTAAAAGGAACGACACCGTTGAGAGTCGTTTACGGACGCCGAGCTCAAGAAAGGAAGTGGGAAGAAAGAGACTTACAAGTTGAAAAGCTTCAATGGCGTGCCTTGTGTTCATTACCATCTCTGTACCTCTCTCAGCTTCACATTGCTTCACAAAGGTAAGTTCACATTTACCAAACTTGTCGTCAACAAAAAAACCCTAGCTTTTATCCTTGAGCTGCTGAAACAATCTTAGAAAACTTGGGATTTGAAAGCAGGAGTGGGAAAATGCTTCAGGAACAGGTTATCTTCTTCAATCTCTTTTCTCAATTGCCAGTTATGCTTACTGTTATACTTGGATATGATAAAGCTAGATGATTAAGTTCAGGATTTCGAAAAATTTAATCTGATAACCTTTTGGTTTCATTTTCCAATCTTCTTTTCTTCCTGCCTAATGTATATGCAGGCAAGAAAATACTAGTTTCCTTCAGACAAGGATCTCAAGCACATCAACCGAAAACTGAAATCTTGTTGGGGTCTTAGTTCACTTGACGAGTATGCTATTCCTTATCTAGAAATAGTCGCGTTTAATCTGGTGCCGTTTTGTTTTGTATTAATGCCAAACTTTGACTGGTTTTCAGAAGTAAGAAGTGGGATAAGAAATCGAAGCACAAGTCGAAGAGGAGCTCAAATGAAATGCAACCCGTACCTTCTCATACTGAAATCTCTATGCCTTAACAGCCATGCATCGTATGTGTGATATGATTTTTAAAATTCTTGACACAATTCCAATTATTAAGTTCTTAAATATGTTTGTTAATAAAGTGTAGTATCAGGAATTAATTTGAGCATTGCTTCAATATGTGGCTATAGATAAATCCTTCAAGATCAAGTGACTGTAATATTTGCTCCAAGCTTTTTCCTTTATGGGATGGCTACTTCCCTCTTTATGATAAAATGCAATTACTCAGGAACCTGAAATTATTGGAATAATTCCCTAGTCCTGTAGTTCCTAACTTCCTGTTGTTTAACTTCAACAGTTAGTTGTCAATGTAAACTTTAGCTGCTTAGGTGGATTGTGATCCATAACAAATGACCATTCATATTGTCTATTGACCCTGATATACTATTGGGTAACCTTTTGCATCATGTTTGCATTATTAATGTGCATCATTTGGCTGTCTTGAATTGTTTGACTGGCTGTGTGTGATTATGTTGTGGAACTGTGGTTGTCAACGCTCAATTTCAATTGGGAAATTTCTTATTGTTTCCAACTGTAATTTCATTTGCAGCGATGTTGCTTATGTTAGTTCAAGTGGATCAATCATTGCTGTTGCTGGATATAGCTCCATTAATGTTAATGTGGTTATATGGGATACATATACTTTGGCTCCACCTACCACCTACCACCTACCACCTCACGGGCTTCTATCCTTTGTCATGAAGGTCTCTCTCTCTCTCTCTCTCTCTCTCTCAAACATACACACACACTCGCCTTGCAATTGCTATTTTGGAACTAAGGTAAAACTGGATGCATGCTGATATTCTAGTCTCCAACATTCTAAATTCTTACCTTTGCTCTGCTAGATTGCTTTTTCAACATTCTAAAATATTTCTGTTCGATTAACTCTGAAATATCAATTCTTTGTCCAATTATCATTTAACCTTTTGATGAATTAATCTGAATGAAGGGAGAGTCACCAAGAAATCTATAATCCCAAAATACCAGTTTGTTCTTAACGGGAAGCAAAGATGGAGATGTTATGCTTTGGGATACCAAGAGAGCTAAGTTGGTATATCACTGGCCGAAATTGTATGAAAGGCACACAATTTTGCAACCAAGCACTCGAGGCTTTGGTGGAATAGTCCAGGTAAGTCCTTTGTTCATGCAATAATGTGATGACTTAAAGTCTTATATCTGTAGTTAGACATGTTAAATGATTTCCCTTATGTCGAAGGTTTTGCATATTGTACATTTTGTGGGAGGAGGTTTAGCCATAATCAGCTCATGGGTCTATTCAATCGTGTTATGACCAAGGTATATACGGTCTGGTATAAGGAGAAAACACAATATTGTTTGGATAAATTTGAGTATTCTCAGCTCTGTTAACATCTTTGACTTGCTCGTAATTGTTTAGATAGAAAAGAATGTCATTATCTGGCTACAGGTAGAATTGCATATTAGCAACGCCCCTAGAGTGTAGATAAAAAAGGGAAAGATTGTATTGGTTACTGAAAATGTATAAGATAATGACAATGCATTACTTAAAAAAAGGCAATGTATTCAATTATTATTATCCTTCTTCTCTCTCTCTCTCTCTCTCTCTCTCTCTCAATATTGCTTTTGTTCTTGATAACAATGAAATCATTGCATAGGAAAAGTGGAGCAATGAAATTGTGGACTAGAGTATTCTAGAGAAGGGATAGATCAAAACGAGGTTGTGACGGGATGGCTGGATGGGGAATAAGTTTCAGCATAGGTGCCAGAGTATTCTTGAGAGGATTAGGAATTTAAAGATGAAGTTTCTGTCAGCCGAGAGTCGTGGGTTTTGAGTTGCAGGGTTTTGAAGCTTGAAAGAAAAAGGTTGCCTGATCTTTTTTCAGGTGATTGTTGTCTGAGAGTATTGTGAGAGAGGATGATCTCTTAGCTCAAATAGAGTATTGAAGCTCAGTATGGAGAGGGGATTTGAGGGTTTATGTCATTCTCTTATTTTATCAAGAGAAAGTGATGCTGAGCAGACCTAGACAGACTCACACAAAGCTCACAAAAGAATGGGACTCTGCTTGGTCACACAATGTAGTTACCGCCCCACTCAATTTGTTCAAGTGGCTAATTGAACAGTGGCCACTAGTTGACCTAACGTTAAAAATTGGTCTAGTTTGAGTGGGTTCTACTGCCCGCATTTAGTAACGACTTGCAGCTATATGCAAGTGCATCATCATTTCCACTGGGCTCTGCAATAATGCTAAAAGGAAAATACTTGCCTCTTTTTTTTGGAAGTGGGAATTCCTATTTTCTTGTTAATCAAAATTTGATATGTGTAGAGATTTATCGTTTTATATTTTTTTGAATTATTTTTGCATATGTATCACACTGTGATTTGCAAGAAGTAGGAATACCTCTTTCAAGAGAACGAGGGAACTAGGGATATAATGTCCATATTAAAATGAAAGAAAACATAGAAGTAAATAAATTCTAAAATTATGCATATATGCTTATATGTGTCACATATTATCATATGCATGTGTAAGGCAATAGATGGAATCAATGTCGTGGGAGAACAAAAAAGCAACTAAAACCTGAGATATCGTAGAAAATAATATCTTAAGACTGTACAAAAACTTAACCATTAAATTATTTTACGTGAATAATTACCCTATACATATGTAGATAAACAATTAGCTCAAAAAAAATTGCAAATATGTCCAATCTTATGATAACAACATATAATTGGTGGAAAATTAAGAACCGTGTAAACAATGAAGAAAATTTGCTCAAGTGAAACAGGAAGGGAAACGTGTCAGGCAAAGCAACAAACAAGCAACAGCAATTCAATCCTTTTTTCATCTGTGGATCACCACCAAACTTTGTTTGCTTCATCTGCCAAAAAAAAATATATATATTAATTATAATCATTTTTTTCTTTAAAAAATTAAAATTATATAATTGTATTAATAATGCAGTGAAACTATCTTTGTATGTACATAAATTAGATGTTTTAAACAATATTACCATATTAATTAACAATCTAGTTTGTTGGGAAAGACCAAAAGAGGTACATTCAAAACAAAGGAATTAAATTAAGAGATATTTAGTCATATACAAATTCTTAGTACTAATAATATAAATAAATCCTATTAAATTACTTTGATGCCTTATTGAGTGTTTTGGGTATTTTTATGAGGTTTTGGTTTTAGGGTTGGGATTATTTTAAGAAATTGATAGTAGTTTTGTAATTTATAAGAAGTTAAAAGCCTTTTTATTATATTGTAAATAGGCTTTGAGTGTGTTTCTAAAGTTCATTATATATATATATATATATATTATAAATTGGGCTCCTATATTAGGTATCATAATGAATCTCCCTAAAATTAAAAGGAGCCAAAAATTCATAGGTCTGTGTCAGAGTTATCAAACAAAACATCATTCTCAGGGACTATACACGGTGGAGTGGTGATTTATCCATCCGCGTATAGGTTTTTTTAAACCCTAATTTGAGCTCCAATAATTATTGAAGAAGTGGAACTATGGACTTGACAAGTTTACATTAGCAATAATGAAATGATTTATACCAAATTACTATTTGTTCATGCATGAATTTATTGCCCTGAAATGTGTAACAACTATATATAAATTTATTTGATTTTGACCTATCACCAACAAAACAAATGCGTGCATGAGATTCTTGACTATAATTCCAAAAAGAAAGATTTCATATATGAAATATTGAACAAATAAAATTAATTAGCAATGATGGAGTAGCCAAATTCTCCGAATTTTCTGAAATGGAACTGGATATGGATTATAATTAATTTGATCCGATAATAATCCGATTTGACTTATTATTAGTATAATTTAGTTTTTCTAGGCTTTATATTAATATTTTGTATGTGTAAATGAGTAATATTAGTTTTATATGCACTAATACTACACTTACAACTAATTTTTATGATAAAATATCAAAAATTGATATAAAAAGTAGAAAAATACGATAAAAGAATGAGGCTACTAATGGAATTTTAATTTTTTATACATCACAAAATAAATCTGATAATAATCCGATCTGATCCGAATTCGACGCATAACAGATATGGATTGATAGGTGCAATCTGATAGTTCAAATACGATCCGAATTTGACAATCCAATTATAAATGAATTCAGATTTGGATTGAGGGATATCTGATCCGAATTCGACCAGTTTACAGGTCTACAACCAATGTTTCTTTTATCCCCACAAAAACAAAAAACAAAAAAACAAAAAAAACTGTGTTTCTTTTATTTTTATTTTTTAAAATACAAATTTGTTCATTATAAATTTTCAGTATTACATTAATTTTTTTTATTTAAAAAAAGTGAAAAAAAAAGAAGGGAAAACCACAACACCATGGGACCGTGAACAGTTGCAGTGGTGTTCTATTTGTTTGTCTTAAGTTCTTTTAGTTTTTTTTCATTATTCTATACCCAACAAATTTGTACTTTTTATGGTTATTGGTTACAAGTTTAAAAAACAAAAACAAAAACAAAAAAACAACTTGGTTAATTGGATTTATATAAAGTTTTAAAACTTGATTTGGTTAGTTGGGTTGAGATTACTTTATCTAAAAATTGAATAAGACATTTTGACCCAAAAAAAATGAATAACACAAAGTTTCTTTTTTTCAAAAAAAGACAAAGATTAAATATGAAAGAGAAAAAGCAATTCGAACTAGAGTTAGGATTAAGGGTCATCATTAGGCCCACAAGCCTATGGGCCGACGGGGGCTCGTCAGGCCCATCGAGAAAAAGCCCGACCCTCCCTGTTATGGGCCATCGGCCGGCCCACCCCGTTGTTGAGTGGGTCGGGCTTGGGTTTGGGTGTCTAAAGCTCGGCCTGGCCAGTTAAAGCCCAAGAAATCCCGGCCCAGCCTACCCATAAAAGCCCGGCCCACGAACTCACATACATATAAATAAATATATATAAAAAACCCAAGTTAAATGAAATATGGAGAAAATCATTATCTATTATCATTGTAAGAATTAAAAAAATGAAGTATGAGATAAAATATGATTTTATTAATATGGGGTTCTATAATCTTTATATTTATGGGGGAAAAAAAAAGAACTATGAAGTTATGAACAAAGAAAAAAATGGAGACATACACATATAGACAAATTTAAATAGAGAACTATGAAAAAAAGAGGAAAAATAGAAACACACCAAAACATAGAAAATAAATAAATAAATAATTGACAAAAAAATACATATCAAAAATAAAAAAGACAAAAAAAAAAAGTTGGCCCATTTAGGCCCGCCCCAATGGGCTTTTTCAAGCTTGGCCCATAGGCTAGGCTTGGGCTTTAAATTTTCAAAAAAACCCTACTCAGCCTAGCACGTTATTTTCTCTCTCCTCTTTAAAGCCTGGCCTGGCTCGGCCCAAGCCCATTAAATTTGGGTCGGGCTAGTTGGCCCAGCTCATTGACGAGGCCTAGTTGGGATAGGACTAGATATTTTGGGAGGTTTCAATGTCATCAATCTCTTCTAGGGTTCAGGTGTCTGTTTCTTCTGGGGGTTCATTGTTACTTTCTTCGAAAGGTTCAACTTCAAAAAACCCATAGTGGAACATAAAAGAATTGCACCGCCTCTGTCTGGACTTACACGCCTCTCGGTCTCAAGAATAGGACCATTCCCATCACGCCGAAGCTTCAGTCTCCGAGACGTCTCAATACCCCAACTACTCATTTGCCCTCTTCAACATCGTCGCCCAGCCTGTGTACGATGAAAAGATCCGACAGAAGGCTAAGGGCCATAGGCCCTGTAGGCCCTGCCTGATGGGCTTTTTCAAGCTTGGCCTATGGGCTAGGCTTGGGCTTTGAATTTTCAAAAAAACCCCGCCCAACTTAGCCTGTTATTTTCTCTCTCTTCTTTAAAACGCGGCCTGGCTCGACCCAAGTCAATTAAATTTGGGGCGGGCTAGCTGGCCCGGCCCATTAACGAGGCCTAGTTGGGATAGGACTAGATATTTTAGGAGGTGTCAATTTCATTGATCTCTTCTAGGGTTCATGTGTCTGTTTCTTCTGGGGGTTCATTGTTAGTTTCTTCGAAAGGTTCAACTTCAAACAACCCATAGTGGAACGTAAAAGAATTGCAACGCCTCTGTCTGGACTTACACGCCTCTCAGTCTCAAGAATAGGACCTTTCCCGTCAGGCCGAAGCTTCACTCTCTGAGACGTCTCAATGCCCTAACTACTCTTTTGCGCTCTTCAACATCGTCGCCCAGCTCGTTATATTTAGGTCGGGCAACTATCCCGGCCCATTGACGAGGCTAGTTGGGATAGGACTAGATATTTTGGGAGGTTTCAATGTCGTCGATCTCTTCTAGGGTTCAGGTGTCTATTTATTCTGGGGGTTCATTGTTACTTTCATCGAAAGGTTCAACTTCAAATAACCCAGAGTGGAACGTAAAAGAATTGCACCACCTCTGTGTAGACTTACACGTATTTCTGTCTCAAGAATATGACTCTTCCCATCATGCAGAGGCTTCAGTCTCCGAGACGTCTCAATGCCCCAACTACTCCCTTACCCTCTTCAACATCGTTGCCCAGCCCCTGTATGATGAAAAGATCCGGCATGATGTTAAGGGCCATAGGCCCGACCCAATGGGCTTTTTCAAGCTTAGCCTATGGGCTAGGCTTAGGCTTTGAATTTTCAGAAAAACCCGGCCCAACCCAGCCCGTTATTTTCTCTCTCCTCTTTAAAGTCCGGCCTAGCTCGACCCAAGCCCATTAAATTTAGGTCGGGCTAGCTAGCCCGGACCATTAACGAGGCCTAGTTGGGATAGGACTAGATATTTTGGGAGGTTTCAATTTCGTCGATCTCTTCTAAGGTTCAGGTGTCCGTTTCTTCTGGGGTTCATTGTTAGTTTCTTCGAAAGGTTCAACTTCAAACAACCCAGAATGGAACATAAAAGAATTGCACCGCCTCTGTCTGGACTTACACGCCTCTCTGTCTCAAAGATAGGAGTCTTGCCGTCAGGCCGAAGCTTCACCTTCCCAGGCGTCTTAATGCCCCAACTACTCCCTTGCCCTCTTCAACATCGTCGCCTAGCCCTTGTACGATGAGAAGATCTTACAGGCGGTTAAGGCCATAAGCCCGGCTTGTGTGAGAAAGCACGGCCCCGCCAGCCCATAAAAGCCCAGCCCACAAGCTCACATTCATATAAATAAATATATATTAAAAAATCCAAGTTAAATGAAATATGGAGAAAATCATTATCTATTATCATTGTAACAACTAAAAATATGAAGTATGAGATTAAATGTGATTTTATTAATATGGGGTTGTATAATTATATCTTTATATTTCTGAAGAAAAAAAAACTATAAAGTTATGAACAAAAAAAAAAATGGAGACATAAACATATAGACAAATATAAATAGAGAACTATGAAAAACAAGAGGAAACGTAGAAACACACCAAAACATAGAAAAAAAAAGTAAAGAACTAACAAAAAATTACATATCCAAAAATAATAATAATTTAAAATAGGTCCATTTAGGCCCGGCCCGATGGGCTTTTTCAATCTTGGCCCATGGGCTAGGCTTGGACTTTGAATTTTCAAAAAACAAGGCCATGCCCAGCCCGTTATTTTCTCTCTCCTCTTTAAAGCTCGGCCCGGCTCGGCCCAAGCCCATTAAATTTGGGGTGGGCTAGCTAGCCCGGCCCATTGATGAGGCCTAGTTGGGATAAGACTAGATATTTTGGGAGGTTTCAATGTCGTCGATCTCTTCTAGGATTCGGGTATCTATTTCTTATGGGGGTTCAGTGTTAGTTTCTTCGAAAGGTTCAACTTCAACCAACCTAGAGTAGAGCATAAAAGAATTGCACCGCCTCTGTCTGGACTTACACTCCTCTATGTCTCAAGAATAGGACCCTCGTTATCAGGCCGAAACTTCACTCTCCGAGGCATCTCAATGCCCTAACTACTCCCTTACCCTCTTCAACATCGTCACCCAGCCCGTGTACGATGAAAAGATCCGACATGCGATTATGGGCCATAGGCCCGGCCCGATGGGCTTTTTCAAGCTTGGCCCATGGGCCAGGCTTGGGCTTTGATATTTTTTTTTTTTTTTTTTTATTTAAAACCATGCCATGCCCAGCCTGTTATTTTCTCTTTCTATTTAATGCCCAGCCAAGCTCGGCCCGAGCCTATTAAATTTGGGTCGGGATAGTTGTCCCGACCCATTGACGAGGCCTAGTTGGGATATGACTGGATATTTTGGGAGGTTTCAATGTAGTCAATCTCTTCTACGGTTCGGGTGTCTATTTCTTCTTAGGGTTCTTTGTTAGTTTCTTCAAAAGGTTCAACTTCAAATAGCCCAGAGTGGAACGTAAAAGAATTGCACCCCCTCTGTCTGGACTAACACGCCTCTTTGTCTCAAGAATAGGACCCTTACCGTCAGGCCGAAGCTTCACTCTCCGAGGCGTCTCAATGCCCCAACTACTCCCTTGCCCTCTTCAACAACGTCGCCCAGCCCATGTACAATGAAAAGATCCGACAGGCGATTAGGGGCCATAGGCCCAGCTCGATGGGCTTTTTCAAGCTTAGCCAATGGGCTAGGCTTGGGCTTTGAATTTTCCAGAAAACCCGACCAAGCCCAGCTTGTTATTTTCTCTCTCCTCTTTAAAGCCCTGCCCGGCTAGGCCCAAGCCCATTAATTTTGGGTCGGGCTAGCTAGCTCGGCCCATTGACAAGGCCTAGTTGGGATATGATTAGATATTTTGGGAGGTTTCAATTTTGTTGATCTCTTCTATGGTTCGGGTGTCTATTTCTTCAGGGGGTTCATTGTTAGTTTCTTCGAAAGGTTCAACTTCAAGCAATCCAGAGTAGAACGTAAAAGAATTGCACCACATCTGTCTGGACATACACGCTTCTCTGTCTCAAGAACATGAGCCTTGCCGTTAAGCCGAAGCTTCACTCTCCAAGGCATCTTAGTGCCCCAACTACTCCATTCCCTATTCAACATCGTCACCTAGCCAGTGAATGACGAAAAGATCCGACAGGTGGTTAGAGGCCATAAGCTTAGCCAATTTGAGCTCAAGAAAGCCCGGCCCAACCCGCCTATAAAAACCTGGCCCACAGGTTCACATTCATATAAATAAATATATATATATATATATAAACCCAAGTTAAATGAAATATGGAGAAAACCATTATCTATTATCATTGTAAGAACTAAAAAAATGAAATATGGGACGAAATATGATTTTATTAATGTAGGGTTGTATAACTATATCTTTAAAAAAAAAAAAAAAAAAAAAAAAAAAATAGGGACATAAACATATAGACAAATGTAAATAGAGAAACTATAGAAAAAAAGAGGAAACATAGAAACACAACAAAACATAGTAAAAAAAATAAAGACCTGACAAAAAAATACATATAAAAAAAAAAGCAAAAAAAAAAAGTAGGCCTATTTAGGCCCGGCCCGATGGGCTTTTTCAAGCTTGGCCCATGAGCTAGGCTTGGGCTTTGAATTTTCAAAAAAACCCGGCCCAGCCCAGCACATTATTTTCTCTCTCCTCTTTAAAGCTCGGCTCGACTCGATCCAAGTCCATTAAATTTGGGTCGGGCCAGGTTGGGATACGACTAGATATTTTGGGAGGTTTCAATGTCGTAGATCTCTTTTAGGGTTCGGGTGTCTATTTCTTCTGAGGGTTCATTGTTAGTTTCTTCGAAAGGTTCAACTTCAAACAACCCATAGTGGAACGTAAAAGAATTGCCCCGCCTCTGTCTGGACTTACACGCCTCTTTATCTTAAGAACATGAGCCACGCCGTCAAGCCAAAGCTTCACTCTTCGAGGCATCTCAATGCCCTAACTACTCCATTGCCTTTTTCAACATCGTCGCCCAGCTTGTTTACGATGAAAAGATCCGACATGCGGCCTCCTTCAACTTCAAAAACCAACTCAAGGATTGATGGGGCCCCGATTCCTCCTCGGACGACGAGCCCACCATCTCTGTAGTAGAGAATGAGAAGATTAAAGCCGGTATCGTCTCCCTCATACTCTTCGCCACGTACAAAATCCGAAGCCAGCTCACTGAAGCAGTAGTCCTCATATGCAAGCACGATTGGCTAGATGGGTGGCCCGATTTGCTCTCCGACCTCATATCCCGCATCTAGAAAGCTAAGAGCGATAAAGACTACGCCGCCCCTAACGATATTCTTGGCATTGCGAACTCTATATTTAAGAGTTTTCGGTATGAGTGCAATCATTTAAAAAAAAAAAAAAAAAAAAAAAAAAAAAAAAAAAAAGAAAGAACAAATTAGGCCCCATTCGTGATGTGGGTTTTTCAAGCTTGGCCCATGGGCTAGGCTTAGGCTTTGAATTTTCAAAAAAACCCGGCCCAGCCCAGCCTATTATTTTCTCTCTCCTCTTTAAAGCCCGACTCGGCTCGGTCCAAGCCCATTAAATTTGGGTCGGGCCAGGTTAGGATATAGCTAGATATTTTGGGAGGTTTCAATGTCGTTGATCTCTTCTAAGGTTTGGGTGTCTATTTCTTCTGGGGGTTCGTTGTTAGTTTCTTCGAAATGTTCAACTTCAAACAACCTATAGTGGAAGGTAAAAGAATTGCACCGTCTCTGTCTAAACTTACACGTCTCTCTGTCTTAAGAACATGAGCCTCGCCGTCAAGCCAAAGCTTCACTCTCCGAGGCGTCTCAATGCCCTAACTACTCCATTGCCCTTTTCAACATCGTCGCCCAGCCTGTTTACGATCAAAAGATCCGACATGCGGCCTCCTTCAACTTTAAAAACCAACTCAAGGCTCGATAGGGCCCTGATTCCTCCTCAGACGACGAGCCCACCATCTCTGTAGTAGAGAATGAGAAGATTAAAGCCGGTATTGTCTCCCTCATGCTCTTCGCCACGCACAAAATCCGAAGCCAGCTCACTGAAGCAGTGGTCCTCATATGCAAGCACGATTGGCTAGATTGGTGGCCCGATTTGCTATCCGACCTCATATCCCGCCTCTAGAAAGCTAAGAGCGATAAAGACTACGCCGCCCTTAATGATATTCTTGGCATTGCGAACTCTATATTTAAGAGTTTTCGGTATGAGTGCAATCATTTGAAATACTTTTGGAGCGTTTTGCCACACCCCTTTGGAACATTTTCATTGAAACCATGCGCTTGATTGAACCTATCAATTCCCGTGGTGAGTCCCTTAAGCAGCTGTTCATGTCACATATATTGTGGTGTATGATTTTTTACTCATTGAATTTTCAAGATTTTCCTCAATTTTTTGAAGGCACTATAAATGTTTAGATTAAGGAGATTAAACCATGTTTAGCCACGTATTATCCCGCGATTGAGAGTAGTGCTGATGGGCTTGCCCTGGTTGATGAGTTGCGTGTAGCCGTGTGCATGGCTGCTAACCTTTGTATTCAGAATGAGGGGAAAAACTTACAAACCTCATGGAATGATTTTGCTATTGATGTGTGGAAATTATTGTTGAATGTGTCTAAGGTGTCTAGCCGTGATCATGTAGCTCTTACTGCTATTAATTTTTTGACCACCCTTAGCACAAGCATGGATCATAATCTTTTTGCTGGACATTTAATGATAACACATATTTGTCAGGACATTGTGATCCCAATTGTGAGGTTGCGGGATGAGGATGAAGAACTGTTTAAGGTGAACTATATTGAGTTCATTAAGAGGGATATGGCAAGTGATATTCATATTAGGCAGAGGATTGCATGTGAGATTCTTAAAGGGATAGCTACCAATTATTAACGACAAGTTACTAATGTTGTTTCTAAATAGATACGGACCTTGACAAACTGTTATAACTCAGACCCCTTTGTGTATTGGAACAAGATGGAGTGCGTTTTGTGCTTGGCTGGACCAATTTTTAATAAAGAGGATCATCATACTGATTTGCCAAAAATTGGTACCCTGAAGAATTTCTTTATGACATCAATTGTTCCGATATTGCAGAGTAAGGATGTGAATGAGTTTCCAATGCTCAAGGCTGGCACACTAAAATTCTTCACAATGTTCTGAAAGGATTTACGAAAGCATGTGGCATTACAGTTTTTTCCACTTTTGAGTCAGTTCCTTTGTGCCGAGTCAAATGTTGTTCACTCTTATGCTGCAAGTTGAATTGAGAAACTTTTGCTTATGAAGGATGAGGGTGGAAGAGCAAGATATACTTCAACATATGTTTCTGCTTTGATGCCACAACTGTTCGTGGGGCTAGGTGGAGATTGAGGGTTGCGAAGAAGAAATTCAAAGGTCTGGGGGGAGGGGGGGTGGAGGGTTAGGTCTGAGTTAGTGATGGGGGGAGAAAAAATTGCAAGAAATCGTCTTGGGGGGAGGGGAAGGGGCGCGAGTTTGTGATGGGTTCTACAGATTAGTTGAAAGAAAGATGGGGAGGGTCTTCGTGGTTGGTATAGTGGTGGGTAGAGGCTGGTCGGGATAGGAAAGGAGAAGAAAGGAGGGAGGAGGGTGTGGTGGTCATGGGGAAAAGGGGAGAAGAACTAAGATAATATTTTAAAAATTTTGGTCTTCCATATAAACCCTAGTAGCATAAACTAAGATTTTTTTTCTCCTCTTTTTCTTCAATTTTTCCAAAAAAAATTATATTTTATTCATACATTAATCAATTTTAAACAAATTTTAAAAAAATTTGGGACCCATAAATACCACGTAGGCAACTAACGGAGAGATTTGACGGAAGCCCTAATGGCGGAACCACATTGTAACAAATTTAAAAGATCGGGGTATGTTATTGTAAAAATTGAAAAGATAGGGACTAACATGTCTTAAGAGTATAACTATAGGATACTAAACTGTAAGTAACCCTTTTATTTTTTACAAATTTATAAATAAACCCAATCCTAGACATGTATTTATAAAAAAAAACCCAAACACTATTTAAACATAGAAACACACCCAAAATCAACCTCAAAGTCAACTTTTTGGTGTGTTTATAAATGGGTTTTGAGTGTGTGTAATGATGGATTTTGGGTGTGTTTATATGTTTAGATAGTGCTTGAGTTTTTTTATAATTTCAACCCTCATTTTGAGTGTATTAGTGAAACTCCCTTTATTTTTTTGGTTGGAGGATAAAATTTTCTTTGTGTCGTTTGATGCAGACGACGTCGTTATCTTCGCGCAACAAATACACGCACGCGCACATTTTACTGTGCGCTCTGCTCTGGTCCTTCAACCTCTGCGTTCTTCCTTCTTCTTCTGTTCTTCACTCACTTTGTTCTCTGAAACCCAAAAACCCAATGCCAGACGTAGACCTACCATCGGCTGTGGACCCCACTCACCACCTTCCTCTCCAATTCCTTCCATCCGACCCAACTCCTCCCGCCCCGACCCGATCCGATCCACCCGGATGCACCCTCGACTGGCTGCCGGACTTTCTAGACCTCTCATGGGTCGCCTACGGAGCCTCCTCGCTCCTAGTGATCTCCCACTTCCCCTCCCCACTCTCCGACGCCGAAACTGTAATAGGACCCATTTTCCGTCAAATCTTCGAGCTCTCCGGCGACCCCTCGTCGGCAGTCGAAGCCGTCTCTTGGTCCCCGTCCACGCCCTCGATCGGTGAGCTAGCTGCCGCGGCTGAGAATTGCGTTTGGGTGTTCTCGCATGATTCGGCCAGGTCCAAAGGTGCGTGAGGGTTGGAGGTTGTTTTAGTTTGGTTACTGAGAAATGGGGTGAAATGTTAAAGGTTTTGAATTGACAGCAGGACTTGAGTGAATGTCTAGTAACAGCAGGTGTGTAACTGTTTGCAGTAAAAGTTCCATGTTTCCTGATTGGTAGTTAAGAAAATTGAGATAGAAAATGAGGTGAAATGTTGAGATTCTGAATTGGCAGCTGGAATTTGCATGTATAGTAAGGAGGATAAATGTTATAATTTTCAGTTTGGTTTATGAGAAAACAAATGAGGAAAAAAAAAAGTGACCTTTTGATTACAACTAGTTGGCATTATTATGGTTTTCTGCATTCCTTAAGTAATTTATATGCAGTGCATCTGGATTCTGTTCTTAATTTGGCTTGTGTGTCTTAAATTTCAAATCTGTTTACTCATATTCAGGTTCTTTTTGTTGGAGCCAGAATGCAGTACTTGTACAATCTACAAAGGTCGAGGCAATGAGATGGACTGGCTCAGGGGATGGAATTATTGCCGGTGGAATTGATGTGGTTTTGTGGAAAAGAAATGGCAGGTCTTGGGAAATTGCTTGGAAGTTTAAAGCAGACATGCCACAAATTATGGTCTCTGCAACTTGGTCTGTTGAAGGACCTTTTGCAACTGCAGCTTATCAGACTGAAGGATTGTTGACCAATAAGGCTAGCAAATGTGTGCTAGTATGCCAAAGTGATGGAAAATCTGGTTTTTTGAAATCCGAGCTACATCATCCTCATCCTATCTCAATGATTCAATGGAGGCCATTAACAGGAAGTTTAAGTAGAGATGCAAAACATCCACTGAGGCAAGTGTTACTCACATGTAGCACAGATGGAACTGCAAGGTTATGGTGCGAGGTTGATGATGGAAGGGGAAGAAAAGTTGGTAAGGACATTAATGACAACAAAACAATGAGGTGTTCATTTTCTGTAGCCGCTGTAATTGAGATAAATCAGGCACTGAATGGGATGCTAGGCACTGATATATATCTTATGTGGGCCACAGAAATTGGGGGTGTACATAAAACTAGTGAGGGAGCTAAACAAATTTTCTTTGGAAAAGGTTATGAGCAAGATCAACCTGGTAACTGTGAGTGGTTAATTGGGTCTGGCCCTGGAATGTTGGTCAATTTCTGGGCTATACACTGTCTGGACGATGTCTCCCCAATAAGATTTCCGCGGGTCACTTTATGGAAGACACAAAAACTACAGGGGCTAAAAGGGGGACTTTCTAACTATAAAGATGGAATACCTCTTAATAAAGTTGTTATCTCGAGGAATTGCTTGTCTAGTCCACCAACATTATGTTCTTTTGTTCAGTTATTACCTTGTAATTCCTTGGTTTGGTCACAATTATATACGCAAACTTCAAATAATGCCGAGGATATATCCCTTAATAAATCTGGTACTGAGAACATCTTATCATGTTCAACTGGTGGACTCTTGAATTTGGATGGTCATGCTGGAAGAATCTTACAAGTAGCTGTGCATCCTTATAGCTGCGAAGTTGAATTGGCTGTCTCTCTAGATTCTTGTGGACTACTTCTATTTTGGTTTTTTTCTACCATTTCCAACTGCATTTTGGGCCGTCCAACACTAATTCCAACATGGGAGCTTTGTGGGAAACTTGTAACACAAGGCTCATGTTCCAAATATACAAGCTTGAGGTGGGCACCGTCAATAGTAAATGAAGCAGTTCTTCTTCTTATGGGACATGCTGGAGGCGTTGATTGCTTTGTTGTAAAATTCCATCATAATGAGGAAGAAAGTATAGAATGTCACTACTTATGCACAATACCTTTTACAGGTCATGGTCCGTATGAGAATGGTCCCACTAGTATCTTTTCAATTCCTTTGCCTTCGACTTGTCATAAAACCCTAAAATCTAATAAATTCATGCTTTTGGGTGTATGGATGAATGGGTTTCAGGCTCTTTCTTGGGAAATCACCTTGCATTCTTTTGATTTATCAAGAAGCTACTGTGAGTGTAAATTTGATCCTGGAAGTGCTCCTGGACGCAGTATGTGGGGATTTGAAACTACTTTTGCCAATGAAAGATATTGTCTTAATGTAAAACCTTGCTCGTCAAAGATACCAGATCCTCACACGCATGATGATGTTTCAAGTTTTGCTGTGGTCTGTCCGGGTAAATTGATCTGTATAGAAAAAAGTTTGGCTTCTACTATTGATCAATGCTGTCCTCCATATATACTGGCTACAGGCTGCTCTGATGGTAGCTTGAAATTGTGGAGGAGTAACATAGATAAGCCATCAACACCTCAAATTCCATGGGAACTTGTGGGTATGTTAGTGGCACATCAAGGACCCATTACCTCTATATGCTTATCGGATTGTGGTCGTAAGATAGCAACCATCTGCAAGGAGCTTCCTTCAAATACTGTTAGCACTCTTCGTATATGGGACCCTGTACTCCTTGCAGATGCAGGGAGTTTTATGTTAGAAGATACATTATCCTTTGGTCAAGATCTTGTTGCTTTAAATTGGCTATACTGTGGAAATGGTCAGTTACTGCTTGGAGCCTGCACACAGAATCAATTGCAAGTATATTCTCAGCAGCGTTGTGGTGGTCAGACTTTATTAAACTCTGGAAAATTATTGAAAAAGGACATCTGGGTTTGCATTGCGTCTACTCGTACTTTCCCTCCCATTTATGACTTCTTTTGGGGCCCCAGAGCAACTGCTGTATTTGTTCACAATAGTTACTTTTGTGTAAGTAGTCAGTGGCTGTTCCCTATAAATAAGAAACATCTTGCTAATGCCAATCCAAATTGCCCGGATTATTTGGGTAGAATGGAAGAAGATATTGATTCTACGGTGTTCATTGATTGTGGACTTGATCAATTCAAGAAAATATTACTTGGTGACAGTAGAAGAGATTGCAAGTCTGGCATCCCATTGGAGATTGATTTGAAAAAGGATTATCTGTCCAGCAGCTTGTTTTTAGCAAGGGCTCAACTGAAGTGTGGTTCGGCTACCAAGCTAGGTTTATGGAACATGCATGAAGTGATCGAGAAGTTAAATGGATCTCTGCCAGTTTATCACCCAGAGGCCCTCTTTATGAATATCTATTCAGGTATTATTTCAGTAGTTTACTTATTTTGGTGAAGTAGCATATCATGTTAGAAACCAAGAACTAGAATATCATTTTTAAATTCAGATGTTCAACTGAGTTATGTAATACTGGTTAAAATCTTGCATCCACTGCCCCCTATCTCTTTCCTCCCTCCCTACTTCTCTGCATGTCTGTTTTCTCTCTGTTAGCAGTTTCCTAATGTTGCCTGTTTGGACTTTTTAGATCACTATTTTTTCTTTTGAAGTAAGTGTGTTTCTAATATTTAATTATGTTAATAAACATGGAATCTGTAATGTGTCTAGGAAATTGGAAGCGCGCTTACATTGCTCTCAGGCATCTTAATGAGTTTCTCTCTTCTAATTCTTCTCCTGAGAGGAAGTATAGCCCTGCAAAGTATCGCATTTGTGTTCCACAAATTCCTTTGTCAAGTTTTTTTGATGCACGTATCTCGGTATATTCAAATGACAGAGGTTTTCAATGGAGTGGTGATGCTTCTCTAGTTACTTCATCTTCTCAGTTTCAAAGTAACTTGGACCAATTTACGTACAGTTTGGACTCCTATGCTTCCAGTAATCAGTTGAATTCACCCTCAACAAAAACTGAACTTAGTGACTTTGTTGAGCCTTTTGAGAAGTTATACAAGTCAGCGGCTATAAGTGACATGGAGAAGATTCAAATTCTTTCTATTATAGATCTTCTTATTGAAATGACTAATTCACACTCTGGTTCTGCATATGAAAGTCTTGATGAATCTGGACGGAGGTAACTCTGACTTTTGTTGACTACATCCTTTCTGTATTTTCTATGTGAATCACTTTTTCAAATATAACTAAAGGTACATTCACTGTGGACAAGCTGTCCACTGAAAACAAAACAGTGAACAAACACTGATTTCTAGCTAAAACACAGTATAATTAATTACATTACATCAAAACAAGCAAAACTGGATTTTAAGTAACAACAGCCTTCCAATTTGCATACCTAGACAAAATGGTATGTCCCAAAACCCTAAAGAAACCGAAATGGATAACTATCCCACAATACCTCTGCACCCTCCCCTCTATACTTTTTAGAGACCCATATATTTTGTTCCATACACACCATACAAAACTCAGCCAATACAAACAATTCGATAAAGCTTCTGCCTTCCTTCCCCACCAAATGCCCTATGCTTCTCAAAAAGCAGTGAATGCATGTTACTGGAATTACGGATACTTTCCAGAGTATTTGTGAGATTTTGTGATTCTTATAGAAGATCTGCTGAAAGATTTTATGTACTAGGTTCATGTTGTTTTATGTTCTGGTCTTTTTCCTTAGAATGAAATGTTTAGTGAATTAAACTTTTGATTAGATAACCTGTTGACTACTGAAGACTATGCATTCCCAGTCCTGTTTTGCTAGAAAGTGTGGAATGGAACTAAGATAAAAGGTAGACCCAGTTGTTTTATTCTGCTCCTGTCCTGTGTAGGATGCACACTGGAAAAGTTTAATGAAGATATCCAAATGTAGGATGCAGTTTGTAAAGAATTCCAAGGATTTGTTAACCTTGATTAGCTTGTGATTTACATGAATCTCATGTTTATTTTTATTTTCATTATAGAAATAGTCTTGCATCATTGTTTGCCCTTAAAAACTGTAATTCAAATCTTTATATTCTTGGGGTGGTTACATGCCACAAATCTGACATTTGGGGATATTGTAGTCCCTTAACAGGTTTTGGTAAAATTTGAAAGATCTCTTTGTTTAAGATAGGTAAAATTATCCAACTATAAACATTTGAGCTGTGGTGAACTATTTTCATCTAATGGTGTTGCATATAACTATACTATTTGCCCATAATTTTCTTTAAATTGTTTAATTTGCTGTACTTTTGATATCATTATTCTTGAGAATGAT